CTTCCTTCTCCTTTTGTATGTTTGAAAATTTTTCATAATAAAAACTTTTAAAAAAATACTGTTCACCTGTATCCTGGTCCTGGTTTCATTTCACTACTTCTGATCCTTCATCACTGAAACAGACACTCCAAAAAGAAGAGAGTCCCTCCTGTCCCAGATGCCACAGGCACCAGCAGTATGTGACCCAAACTTCCCTAATTCCTGCCGTACCTATTCTGATCCATCTCTGTTGTACACACACAGATTCCTCCCCATGCCCCAGCCCCAGGCTAGAGGAGTATGAAGAGCAAAACTGAGCTTACTGTGCCAAAGTCTAGTGTGGCACTAGCTGCTTCTTCTAACACCATGGTCACCTCTACAAGTTGGTTTAGGACACTATCCAGAAAGTTCTAGAGAGTTTCCTGAGCTCAGGGACATCCCCAGAAAAGCTGTAGCCCCTGTCCCCATGACAAAGGATTGACAGAGTCTTGGAAAGTGTCTACCCATCACTGGTCCTTTTAGCATGGTTATCCCTCCCACCATTGCGATTGGGTAAGTCTTTAAGGATAACCTCAGGTAATTGCATTTATCCCAGGAATTATTGAGGATCACTCTCCTTGCATCTTCCAAGCATTGAATTGCCTCACTCCATGTCCTAAATATCTGCTTCTGGCCATTTTCTGGCACACCATTAGGAGTCCCTTTCCTGACTTACTGATTTTTAAGGCCTAGCAAACTCTCTGATCTAAACACTACCTGACTTAGAGGAATACATACAACAGTATGTTAAGTAAACAAATTAAGTTGCAGAGTTATATATATAAGAGAATAGTATAATCCCCATTTTTAAGAAAAAATTGAACAAAAACTTCTGGTTAGGTGGACTTGTGTTTGTATGAACAGGGAAATGGGCATGGAGGATGCTTACCAGAAATGTTAGAGGGGTAGAGGATTGATTTTTTAGGAAACCTATAAGCTGTTTCTAAAACTAACCTGGAAAAGTAAATTCATAGTGTTTTAGTTATCTTTTGCTGTGTAACAAACCACCCCCAAAATTTAGTGGCTTAAAGCAATGGCAACACTACATTTGTTCACAAATCTGTAATTTGGACAGGGCTCTATGGGAACTCTGTTTGGTGTCAGCTGAAGCAGCTTAAAGACTAGAGGCTAGAATCGTCCGATGGCTCACTCACTCACAAGCCCAGTGATTGATGCTGGCTGTCACCAGCAACCTACACATGACCTTTCCATGTGGCTGCTTGGCCTCCTAACAACATGGTGGCTGGGTTCCAAGGGTGAGTGTCCTGAGAGAGAGCAAAGAGGAAACTGTATCACTTGTTCTAACCCAGACTTGGAAGTCCTACAGCATCACTTCCACTGCGTTCCATTCACTGAGATAGTTACAAAGACCTTCTGGGCTTCAAGGGGACAGGAAATAGATTCCATCTCTTGATGGGGAAGTGGCAAAATTCTGGAATAGTCTGTGAAACCAGAAATACTTTTGTGGCCACATGTGAAAAATACAATCTTCTATATGTAGAAACTCACAATGGAAAATTCCAGCATCATACATCAAAACACAATTACATCAATTAAAACAGTGTGGGGGGTGCCTGGGCGGCTCAGTGGGTTAAGCCTCTGCGTTCAGCTCAGGTCATGATCCCAGGGTCCTCTGATGGAGCCCTGCATCAGGCTCCCTGCTTCTCCCTCTCCCACACCTCCTGCTGGTATTCCCTCTCTCACTCTCTCTCTCTGTGTCAAATAAATAAAATCTTAAAAAAAAAAAAAAAAGACATTATTGATTGAACAACCATTCCCAAAACTTTTCCCCTTGTTCACCAGAAGTAACTTATACCTTTAATTTTATGGTAATAATTCTATTACTTTTACTCTTTACCACATATGTATTTATCCATAAACAATATATTGTTCAGTTTTGCCTGCCATTAAATATTTGTAAATTGCATTGCACTATGTGTTTTCTTCTGTTATAGTTCCTTCACTGTTTCTAAAGTTCATCTGTGTAGATGTATGTAGCTGTGGCTCATTCATTCCCACTGGCCTATGACATTCCATCATATAAAAATACCACAGCTTATCACTCTGCTCCTGATGGACATTGGGATTTCCAGTTTTTGCTAATGCACACAGTGAGACTATAAACCTTACTGCCTCTATCTTCAGGGCATGTCTGTAGTAGTAGGATTGTTGAATCATAGAATATTTACATATTCAACATTATCAAGTAATTCCAAATTCTTTTCCAAAATTATAGCAAATTATATCCCCACCAGCAGTGGGTGAGGGCTCCAGTTGGCTCACAGCCCTGTTAGCTCTCAGCACTGCCAGACTTTGTAATTGTTGCCAATTTAGTGGGTATGAAATGGTATCTCATTGTGGTTTTAACTTGCATTTTCTTGATTACTATAGAGAGAGAACAACTTTTCATATGTTTATGAGCCATTTCTGCTTCTTTTATGAAATTCCTATTGATTTCCTCTGCCCATTTCTCTAGTTGGGTGTTTATCTTTCATTTGTAGAAGGCCTTTATAAATTCCACGTGATAATCCTTTGTCAATTATGTGTCTTGAAAATATCTTCTTCCAGTCTGTGGCTCGATTTTACATTATTTTCATAGTGCTTTTTAAGTAAATTTAGGTTTTTAAGATTAATTATCTAAATTTATCAATATTGTCTTTCATGGTTTGTTTTCTTGTGTTTAAGAATTCACTCCCAATAGGCATTGTACAATAGTTTCTAGAGCATATTCTGAATCCAGAATATGGATTCCCTCACTTACTGTGTAACACTGGGCAAATTATTAAACTCTCAATGCGTTTGTCTTCTCATCTGTAAAACAGGGATAATCACAGTACTTCTTTGACAGAGTTGCTATGAGATAAAGTGGCAAAAATTTGAGAGGTCTTTAGAGAAATCCTCACCACATATTAAACTCTAGATAAATACTTGCTGTTATTGTGGTGATGTTTATCAGATCATTTTTATTGTTACTCCTCTGGGCAAGGTACATTTTACCTTATTCAGCTCTATATCCCCCCCCCACTTAACACAATGCCTGGCATAAATGAATACTTGCCTTGCCTGTTTTTCCCTTCTTGAGCCTTTCACCCCATGCAACCTCACCTTCTTACAGTGCTGTCAAAATAATGTCCCTTACATATGATAGTTTTTCTCCCTTTACTGAAGTTTCCATTTATTCCCTGCCACCTACAAATTCCTAAACCGGCATAATTTATCCCAATCTCTTTTTCTAACCAAAGTGCCCTATATCTCCCTTCATACCAAACAGTGGTGGTTGGGGGTATCTTTCCATCAGTCTGTACCTACATTTGTGTATTAGTATCTACAAGTATGTATACACCCAGTCTAGGGCAGTGTTCAAGAGAATGGGCTCTGAAGGCAGACTGCCTGTCTTTGGATCCTGATTCTAGCACTTACTACATATGTAACTGTGGACAAGTCCCTTCATCTCTGGGAATCTCAGTTTCTTTGCCTGTAAAGCAGAAACAATAACTACCTATTTCAAAGAGCTGCCCTGAGCATTAAATGAGGTCGGTGCTCAGCATTCAGGACGGTGTCTAGCACACAGTAAACACCAATAAATTTTTGCTGTTATTAGAAAACCTTCTTGCCAGTATATTCTTATTCCCCCAAACTCTACAATTCCTTGGGTTCTCCTTGTATCCACAGAAGCCAGTTGCAGGTAATTAGAGGCTATCAAGGTCAAAGTTGACCAGATCAGCGGTGTTGCGGAACTCTTTACAAAAGTACACTGATGAGGAGACTACAGGATGTATTAGAAGTCAGGACTGCAAATATACTTTTAGGTGTCACAAATACACATTTAGGTGTTGTGCAAAGCAAAATATATCCACTCAAAGAATGTTAACCTGCAGTCCCTCACCTCTGAAATCAGAGGCAAAACTTGGCCTGCCTATGCATTTTTCATGGCAAAGGGTTCATTGCTTTCATTGGATTCATGACCTAAAAAAAAATCCTTAACGAAAAGGATTAAGAACCATGACCTATACAGGACAATGTTTTTTTTGGGTTTTTTTGTTTTTGTCAGAGACAGAGGGAGAGAGAGTGAGCACAGGCAGAAGCAGAGGGAGAAGCAGGCTCCCTGCCGAGCAAGGAGACTGATGTGGGACTCGATTCCAGGACGCTGGGATCATGACCTGAGCCAAAGGCAGCCGTTTAACCAACTGAGCCACCCAGGCGTCCCAAGTACGGTGTTTTCTAAGAGCAAAGAGTTCCTGTGAACATCCAGCACCCCCTGGGGGTGTCAGTCAAAATTCCAATGTTCGCTGAGTGCAGAACTGTGGGGATCCAGATACATTAGCAACTCTGTGGAAGGACGTAAAGTATCCACGGAAACCCAGAAACGCTTGGCGTTTTAACTAAATGTGGTCTAGCTGCGGAGGTTTTGAGGCCTCCATCAGAGAGGAACGTAAGCCTGTGTTTACAGATTTGTTGTGGAGTGCCAGTATGCTGTGATGACGGCGGGGGGAGGGGGGCGAGGGTGGAGTGCTCAAGTTGTTTTTTCATCAAAAGGAGGTTATGTGAGCTTACAGCGAAACTCCATCACTACTACCCATAATTTTCTAGCTTTTTTTTTTTTTTTTTTTTTAATCATCCGTTGATTTTCTTCCAGTAGCTCTGACGACAGAAGGCAAAACAGAAACCCGGAAGGAGAGGGCAAAGGAAAAGAAAGCTCCAAAGGGAGCCCTAGCGCCCGGTCTTTCGTCCTGCGGTCCCTTTAAGAGAAGAATCTCTTGGGACCGGCAGTCCCAACCGACCCCAGTTTTAACCGAAACCTAACCCGGACTTCCCCCTCTTCACTCAAATAAGACCAACTTTGGATTTTCCCTCCCCTATTGACCAATCAGAATCTGTTACCAGGCAGACTTTAGCTGCCGCCGGTGCGAGCCCGGCGCCTTCTGTCTCCGGGTGGCAGCAATGACCAATGAGAGAGCAGGTCGTCCGAGTATCTAGGCAGATCGGGACTGTTCCAGCCATTCAGAAAAAAGAAAATAAAGCAACGCACGAGCCCTCTGGGCCAGGATCGTGGGCTGGGCTGGAGTGAAGGTGGCTACGAGGTAGTTTCTCTTTCTCCCTTACCTTTATTGTTGCTTGTGTTGGAAGGCGACTGTTCAAAGGTAGGGAGGGGGCAGTATGAGTTGGGAGGAGAGCAGAAAAAGATTTTGGCTGTATTTTCAACAGCTCCTTCACCCATGTGCACGTGCCCCGAATTTGGGACCCCGTTCCCCCAAACGGGTTTCCTACGCCCAGCCCAGGAGTTCGCCGCCCTGAATCCCCCACCTTGCAGCAACGCGGGACTGATTGCAGGGGGAAGGGAAGAAGGTGGGGGTGCGCCTCAGGATGGGAGGTTGAGGAAGATGACGTAGGGATCGGCGACGTGGGGAGGGGGAGCGGCGGGGGAAGCCGTGGCGAGATTAAGTAATGAGAACTTGGGCCCGGTGTTTTCCAAGGCTGGAAGGGCAGAATATGTTCGTATCCTTTCTGACCGCCCAGGAAAATTCAGGCGTGAGGAGTAGCTTAGAGAATTGAAGAACTTTGCTTTGTGGTTGTTACTGTTTTTATTTTATTTTTTTTTATTTTTATTTTTTAAAGGGGATGAGGGCAGCGGGGTCAGAGGCAGAAATGGACCTGTCTAACGTCGACTTCCGTTCCCCCATCTCTTCCTTTACGGTTTTCCATATTTAGGAGATTGCAGAAAGGTGGGGCAGATAGAATGGGGATGGCAAAGATCTCTTTGGGTATACGTGGGCATGGAGAAGTAATGGGATAATTTCTAATTTTTGGAGAAGGCAATTGGTGAAGGAAAAAAAAAAAAGCCACTGAGGCAATTCAGAGCCTTTCTTTCTGTTTCTCTGTGTTTCTGGGTAGGGAGATGAGTGCCCCTGGGGCCTCCGGGGAAAGGGAGGTTAAATTTTCATGCCTGGTCTCCTCTCAATTCTAGCCCTCATGCCGGGATGGCAGAAGATGAACCCGATGCTAAGAGCCCCAAGACTGGGGGAAGGGCCCGCTCAGGTAGTACTGAGGCGGGAGAACCCACCACCCTTCTTCAGAGGCTCCGAGGTACCATTTCGTAAGTACTCATCTCCACCTCCAAATCTTGCTCCAGAACGGTAGCACTTCCTCTGTAGATGAATTGCCTCTCCCTGAGCAAGTGCATTCTTCATGAATGATTCTTCATCATTCTGGAAGATTCACCATTCATGAAAGATTCTCCATCATGGGAATTGTTTCTGAGCACCTATTAAGCATCTCATCCCTCTTCCTCTCCCTAACAATAAGACACCAGAGAAAATCTTGTGTATGACCTCCAGCTTTCTCCTCTTTTCCGCAGCAAGGCTGTGCAGAACAAAGTCGAGGGAATCCTGGTAAGTATTTTTGGGCAGAGGGCAATAGAGAGGTAGACTTGCAGGGGAATGAGGATGATGAAGATAGGAGTAACTGAAAGGCCTATGTGGGACAGGCAGTATAGTCTTCCCCGTCAGAAGGTAACTGGCTTTGCAACTCATTGCCAGTTTGACCTTGAGCATCTTACTTCATCTCTCTGTGACCCGTTGTGTAGAGGCGCAGTAGGCATAATATCAAAGCAGATCCCTGCCACTCCTCCTCTCAACGAGGTAGCTCACGAGAGCACTCCTTGCGCACAGTGAACACAGAGCCCCAAATCACTTCTAAGGGCCTTTTTTTAGTCTGACGGTCTCTAAGACAGCTAGACTTTGGGGGAAGGATTAGAAGATCCTATCTTGCATCCTTCTTGGCCTCATTTTTTCTTCTGCCTCTCTCTTCCTCCCTACAAGCAAGATGTACAGAAATTCTCAGACAACGACAAGCTGTATCTCTACCTTCAGCTCCCCTCAGGGCCTAGTACTGGAGACAAAAGGTAGGTTTGGTGCTAGAGTTTAAGATAGCAGAGGGTTCTGGTTCTTAAAGGGAGGCTCACTGGGATGGGGCTGGGTGAAGAGGAATCCTCATGACAGCTGCCTTGGTGAGAAGAGTAGTCCCTGTCCTGCCCTGGTTTACCAGGAAAAGCTGGATTTGGGGCAAAGTGATTTGGTCCATCACTGCTGAAGCGGTGGTCTGGATAGAACCACGACAACCCTTAGGATCTGAGTAAAGCTTGTCCCTTTCACTTCTCTTGCAGCTCAGAGCCAAGTACACTCAGCAATGAGGAGTACATGTATGCCTACAGGTGGATCCGCAACCACCTAGAGGAGCATACTGACACCTGTTTGCCAAAGCAAAGTGTTTATGATGCCTATCGGTGGGTGAATGGGGTGGTGGTGTGTGGGTTGGTGGGCATAGGACTACCCCCTCACCTCTGGAGAGCTCCCTGCCTTGACAGAGTCTGACTTCTTAAAGGGTTTCCCAAACGTGATGCCAGGGACCCTCCGAATCTAACCATGACCTCCCTCTCTGAGTGTCTTCCCACTCTGCATCCCCCCCAACCACTCACTCAGGAAGTACTGTGAGAGCCTCGCCTGTTGCCGCCCACTCAGCACAGCCAACTTTGGCAAAATCATCAGAGAGATCTTCCCTGACATCAAGGCCCGAAGGCTTGGTGGCCGGGGCCAGTCCAAGTATCCTTGAATGGAGAGGTGGGGTTGGAGGACCCAGGGAAGAAAACTTAGGGTGTGGAGGGCCAGGAGAGGGAACAGCCTAGCCTTCCCACGGGTCTTGGAGATCCCCACTGTTGGCTGCTCTTTAACTTGCCTCAGATATTGCTACAGTGGCATACGAAGGAAGACCTTGGTTTCAATGCCACCCTTGCCTGGACTTGACCTGAAGAGCTCTGACAGTGTAAGTAACAACCAACCCTCTCATCGCACTCTTCTCTCCAAGGTGGAGGGCTGACACAGCCTAGGTCATTCTGCACATAACTTCTGGTATATAAGATATGCCCTTCCACGTACCCTATGGCTCAGGCAGAGGACGAATAGAATTTGTGGGTTTCTGGGATGAGTTACTCCCATCTCTAGTCTAGTCTTAACTAGGGTTGACCCTGGTGTCTGAAGGGGGCCAAATTTGGAGTGTGAGTGGGCATGTCCTTCCCCACTGCAGCCAGAAATGGGCCCAGAAGTAACCCCAGCACCTCGGGATGAGCTGGTGGAGGCAGCCTGCGCTCTGACCTGTGACTGGGCAGAACGGATCCTGAAACGGTCCTTCAGTTCCATCGTTGAGGTTGCCCGCTTCCTGCTGCAGCAGCATCTCATCTCTGCCCGATCTGCGCATGCCCACGTGCTCAAGGCCATGGGGCTCACTGGTGGGTGGAGACCTCACATGTCCCAAGAAACTCTCAGCCACTTTCAACCTCATAGGCCCTCCCACCTACTCAGTCAGAGACACCTTGCATTTGTCTTCTGTTCCTAGTGACCCTCATGGGAATTGGGATGTGCCTTAGACTGCCTTCTTCCCCCTTCTCCACCCGTCAGTTAGGGTGTCCTCTCTTGGCCATTGTTTCCTCCTCACCCTTGCCCTATTACCTTTTCCCGCACCTCTGCAGAAGACGATGAACATGCCCCTCGGGAGCGGTCATCTAAATCCAAGAATGGTGTGGACAGCCTAGAAGGTGGAGCCCCTAAGAAACCAGAGAGAGCAGCCCAGGTAAGGAGGTTAAGGCCCCTGATCTTACTGCCCTGGGCTAGGGGCTTGGTATCCCCTTTCCTGTATTTTCTTACCCTCCTGTGTCTGTGTTCGCTCCAACATCTAGGCTTCCCACTTACTGTGTCCTCTCTTTGCCTTTTAGCCCCCTAGGGAGCTGGAAGCCCGGGCTGGGGCCGGCACCCCTGCACGCGGTGAGCGGAAGAAGAGTGTAGTGGAGAGCCCAGCCCCAGCAGCCAGTAACCCACAGGTTAATGCCCTGGTGGCCCGGCTTCCTCTGCTCCTTCCCCGGGCCCCTCGCTCACTTCTTCCGCCAATCAGAGTCTCTCCACCCATCCTGGCCCCCAAGCTTTCTTCAGGCCTGAAAGTGGCTACGTTGCCTCTGCCCAGTAGGGCCGGGGGGCCCCAGGCAGCTATGCCAATCATTAACATGATCTTACCGACTGTTCCTGCTTTGCCTGGACCTGGACCTGGACCCGGACCCGGACCCGGACCTGGGCCTGGGCAAGCTCTGCCTGGGGCGCTCGCTCAGCCACAGGGCCCAGAGAACAGGGAAGCAGGCATAGGTGGTGACCTGGGACCCCATGACAAGGGTGTCAAGAGGACAGCTGAAGTACCTGTGAGTGAGGCCATTGGGCAAGATCCACCTGCTAAAGCCACAAAGCTGGATAGAGAGGATACAGGAAGCGATGCCAAAAGAAAACGGGGGCGCCCTCGAAAAAAATCAGGTGGAAGTAAGGAAAGGAACTCCCCCCCTGACAAATCAGCAGCTGCCATGGACTCGGCCCAGTCCCCGAGGTTACTACAGGAGACGTGGGCCTCTGGAGGGGAAAGCAACTCAACTGGAGGGTCAGGGAGGCCAGGGCCAGTGGGAGAGGTTGAGAAGGGAATGGCGCTTGCCCAGGGTCAGGAAGAGGGTGCTGTTGCCAGAGGAGGAAGGGGCCCCAGTTCCCGGCATGCCAAAGAAGCGGAAGATAAAATTCCTCTGGTCACCTCAAAAGTGAGTGTCATCAAGGGCAGTAGAAGCCAAAAGGAAGCTCTTCATTTGTTGAAGGGTGAGGTAGACACCGAAACGCAGGGTAATAACGACTTAAAGGGGCACGGGCTTCAAAATTCCTTATTCCACGAGGGGAAAGACCCCAAAGCAACACCCCCATGATAGGTATGTGGGGGAGAGTGTTTATAAACACACTAACTCTACCTGCCTAGTAGAGGCCCCTCTCTGCACTTGCTTCTCGTTTGGCTCTCCTTTTCCTAAGAGAATTCATTCTCATGTCCAGACAGCTGAGGCACCCTGTCTTGCACAGTGTCCAGCTCCTGCTTCTGACCTTTCCAGCTCAATACCCTTGGCTTTAGAGTCACTGATAAATCTGTTGTGACTGTCTTAACCTGGATCTCTGGGCTATTCTGCGGAAAGATAGGAATGGAGTTAAGTATGATGAATGTATAGGCTAGGAATCTTTTGGTTTTAAATCGTAAAAAAAAAAAAAAAAAAGAAAAAGAACAACCTAACTCAAACTGGCTTAAAAATAAAGACTTACGGGCTCAACCGAACTGGAAAGTCCAGAGGTGGTACTGGCTCCCAGAAAAGCTGATGCCTGGCTAAGTGCGTCTCTAAACACCTGATTGATTTCCCCTTCCTGCTGCTACCTTCTGTAGGATCATCTTAAACCTGGGCCACCTAGTGGCTGCCAGAACTCCTGAGGTTACACATTTTCTCGTTTACATCCAACCAGAAAGGGGATGAGGGGGGTGATCTTTTGCCTGGCATCCTAGCATAGCCTTAAAATGGACTCTGATTCGGCCAGCCTGGATCATATGCTGATCCTTAACCAATCACTGTGGCCAGAAGGATGGGGTATGCTAATTTGCTCTTTCTACATCAGGGGCAGGCTGGGATCAGCCTCCTCAGCATGACACAGGTCTCTAAAATGACAACTGTTACGGGCAGTTCCTGGGGAGACAGCTGACCCCTGGCCAATACCAGCAAGTCCGTGTGGTTTTAGCTTGCGAGGTTGGGATCAGCTACACCTGTTTACGTTTTCCCTCACTGTCTTGCATTTTCCTTACTGCAGCTGTAGCCTCTTCCCTCTTGTAGGCTCAGAAGGAATGAGAGGGAAGTCCCTCTCCTTTAGGGACTATCTCTTTCATCTCCTTTAGATGACTATCCCTTACATTTCAGAGATGGAGATCCTTCCCTTTCCTGTTTCTGAATGTTAGTTTTCTCCTCATTCTGCTTCCCTATCCCCTGACCCTACGGCCACTTTCACCAAGTGGAGTGAAAGATTTCTTTCCTAGTCATTTTATTAAATCACATTCTGTATCCACCAGGTGTCAGTCTCTTGTCATACATGTGTCAGGATTTCAGCCAGGGTTGTGGGGCTTAGGCTAGGTATGCGGCAGGAGGGAGCTCTGCACAGCAGCCGGCACCAGGAAGAAGCGAACCCAGTCGCTATCCTTCGAAAAGCAGTAAACCAACCAATATTTACTGATGACCTACATGGTATGGTCTTCTGCATAAAGGTAGCTTCCGTCGGGGAATCTCGGCTCTGCCCAGGAAACAGGTTTGCTTTCAGGGAGGCTTCACTCACTTGTCTCCACCACATCAGATTTTTAAAGATTATAATATGTAATATTTGGTATCTATAAAGGATATATTTAACATGAATAAATTATGAAACATAATATTAAATGAATATCTTTGGCCCATCACCCAACTTATACATTAAAACATTAGAAATACCATTGAGTTTCTTGTGTTCATACCCAGTCCTATCCCACTGCCTCTCCCTAGAGGTAACCTCTGTCCTTAATTTTGTGTTAAGTTGCCTGCATTACACACACACACATACACACACACGCACGTGTGTGTATATATTTAACCATATATGTATAATCTTTAAAAATTATTGTTCAGTTTTGCTTTAGCTTTACAAAAATTTTATGCTCTAATAGCGCCCTGAAGTTTTCTTTCTTTCACTTAACATTATTTCTAAGATTTATCTATGTTGTAAGTAGCTGTAATCCATTCATTTTCACCTGTGTAATACTCCAGCAAGTACATAAGCCACAAGTTATTTATGCACTCACCTATTAATGGACATTTGGGTTGTTTCCAATTTCCTGCTGTTCCAAACAATGCTGCTGTGAACATTGTTGTATCTGTTAGTGCCTTTTTTGAAGGAAGATTTCTAAAAAGGTTTCCAAGATGGTTCATTTGATCTGTACACCCTCTGAGTTGGGGACTGTTCCCTCTTTTCTGATTCTCTGGAAAAGCTGACATCAGATTGAGATGAGCTGTCCCTTGACAGTTTGGCAAAACAGCTGTCAAACCTATCTTTGCCTAGCATTTCTTTTTGAGAAAGATTTTAACCATCGATTCAATTTCTTTAATAATTATAGGCTGTCTGGCCTTCCTGTTTCTTTTTGAGTCAATTTAGGTTGTTTTTTCTGGGATTTTGTGCATTTCCTGTCCTTTTTTTAAATGAAATTTCTCTCTCTCTCTCTTTTTTTTTTTTTTTGCCTCTGCTCTCTGGGTAGTCATGTGCGTCTTTTCATTTCATTTCTACTATTTACTTTCACCTTCTTATTTCCTCCTCATCAATTGCACCAGAAATGTGCTACTTTACTTTATGTAAAATACTTTATGTAGCTACTACTTTGGACTTTGACAATCTTCTCCCTTGTGTATTGTTTTCCATTTCATTAACTATGGATATTAACTATAATATTTCCTTCTGCTTTCTTTAGATTTTTTTATGTTCTTCCATAACATCTTAATTTTGACACTTACCTAATTTTCAAGCTCTGTTTTTTTACTGTAAGTTTTTAAGGACCTGTTTCTCTACATTCCCCCAATATATTTTTTTGCTGTATTTTGATTATAACTTCACCCTAAGAATATTTAAATTACCTGTATGACTTTTTAAATTTATGAGTTATTTAGAAAGGTTTTATGAATTTCCAAGTGTCTGGTTATTTAAAATTCTATCTTTTTTATATCCATTTTCAGCTTAACCCATTTGTGCTCAGAGATGGGGTGCTCTGATACTAAACCTTTGAAATTTGTTGGGATTATATTTCTGTAATTCCTGCTCGGTATCTAAATGGTTTGTTTTCTGCTCACTCTTGCCTGTGGTAGTTCATTGCCTTGTATATTCTCCATTTGGGGATTTTGAGCTTATATTTTGTTAAACTTAATCTATGGTAATTCAGAGAGCCTAAATTGGGGGTACTTTCCTCTAAAGAGGATCTGCATTTGCTTGTGCCAGGAGTCAAATGATGCTCCTGACCTGGGACTGTGTGAGCCCCTCAGGAATCTCAGTTCAATCCGGGAATCCCAGGTTTTCTCCTGTTCTGTGGCTAGGCCCAGAGCCTAGCGCCTGTTCACAAAACTGATATTGGCATTTGTCCCCAAGGCAAACCCGTTGCTCCTCCTGCATGTTGCTCGTCTTTCCTATAGGTTTCAGCTTAATGTTACTTTTTTTCTTCCTTTCGTGATTGCTCTTACTTTCTAATGAGCCCAGCAATGTGTTAAACGTTATGTTTCTTGTAATTTATCCAGGCTCCACTTGTATTTTAATGGGAGAGCCCTTTCTCTTCCCCAGGCTGCCAGAAATAGGCACTACTGCAGTTTTTATATTTTCCTTCTTGTTTTTTAAGTTCCAGGAACTTACTAGAAGCCAACTGACATAGGCTTGACTTCAAGTCAATAATGATCACAGCACAGTGGCAACCTAACAGTTATGTTAGCATTAAGCACAGAGAGCTGTGGGGGCCCAGAGGAATAGCATATAGGTTGGATGGGGATCAGGGATGACTTCCAGTAGAGATGAGTAGGAGTTAGCTAGACAAGCCTAACTCATAAGCGAGGACAGGACAACATAAGACATATGGTAAAAAGACTTAAATCATAGTACTCATTCTGTGTAAGAGCTATAATTCAGAGAGATCACTTTGGGCTGAATAATTTGGGAAGGTTTCATGGAAAAGATATGCTTGAATTAAGCCTTTAAGGTATGTGGAGCTTAGGTGAAAAAGGGGAAGACATTCCAGGAAAAGCAGGGGTCAGGGGATGTAAGATGTAGAGATGTGACTAAAGGCATAGCAGAACAACTCCCCCACCCCAGGATGGAGACCTGGCAGGCAGAAGGGGCATCTATGAACAACACTGAGAAGTCAACTTGAAGAACACACAACCATTATTATAGGTATCTGTTGACTGAATGAATGGATTAAAGGTATAAAGTCTCCATTAGAGGATGAAGTAACTGGAATCAGAAGGAACCAGGCAGGCAGATGGTTCCATGTGGAAGGAGAAGAGGGACTGGGCCGGGCTGCTGACACATTAGAAGTGACAGGCATACAGGAAAATAAACCACTGGTGTTAGAATAGATGGAAGCATCCAAGGAAACATAGTCCTTACCTTGGTTGAGCCTGAGGATGTATCCATTCATTCTGGGAGACCAGCCCACCCGAGGATTTGAAATTTACATGTTTGGTGGGGTTTTTTTAAGTTTATTTTTTATTTTTTTAGTAATCTCTGCACCCAGTGTGGGGCTCAAACTCCTAACCCCAAGATCAAGAGCCGCATGCTCTTCTGAGCCAGCCAGTACCTGCACCCCTACCATGAGGTTTTTAAGTAACCTATTTTTAAAACCTATTTTAAAAATCTAACATGAGGGGCGCCTGGCTGGCTCAGTTGGAAATGTAATCAACTCTTGACCTTGGGGATTTGAGCTCAACTCCCACACTGGGTGTAGAGATTACTTAAATTATGTAAGTAAATAAAACTTGAAAGAAATCTAGTATGAAATAAGTTATTGTAGTTTAGGTAATCTTCAGTTTACTAGATTAAAGGTTTGGGAACTACCGGCTGCTTCCTCTCTACCATTCCTTATTCTCTCCCCAGGACCCTACTCTGTACTTCCATGACCTCACCCACCAAGTGTCATATCTTTTTTATTTTAGCCCTATCATAAGTTGAAGATAATTTGTAACTTACTAAAATTGAAATAATCATTTACTATTAAACCAAGACAAGCTATACATGTCTAGTCTATGGCCCCAAATAAATGAACTCACTGTTTATTTTTGTGGATAATAAGCAACTTTCTTCAGAAATGAAAGCAAATGCCACATTCACTCATATACTAAACAGAGGACTAATGTCATTTTATATTTGTCTAAGTGTTTCATCTCACGTTATGGTTCCTCAGTAGGCCTATCCCTTCTTTGCCTAGGATTGTCCTGCTGGCTTTATACCATGAGATAAAGCTAAGCACAACATATATAATGTGTTATTTAAGAAATGTTCATGAGAAGGTATTTGTTTGCTGGAAAGAGCATGAATTCAGTTCACATCTTCGCTTTACTACTTATGATCTTGAACATTTATTTAGTCGTTTTTCAAACTGTAGATTGCAACCCATTCGTGGGTTGTGACACTGATTTCGCAGGATGTAAAACAAGGGAAGAAAAAAACATGTTTTCAAAAAAGGAAATTAAATAGAATAGAAAATATCAGAATGCATTGCATATAGTTAGGGTATTATTTCATGAAACCTTTATTTCAGTGAAGACACATTTGTGTGTTCCTCAGTGATCATGATATAAGATGTATTTTTTATTGTGGGTTGAAATAAAAAAAAAACAAAACGACTTGACCATTCTGAAGCTCAGTCTCCATAAAATGGTATATCTCTTTCACAGGATTGTAATGAGGAATAAATGAAGTAATGTTTGCTTTCATACACAGTAGAGGGTTGGGCAGTAACTGCTGGCTTCTTATCTTTTCTCTGAAAAAAACTCCAGGGGTGCCTGGGAGACAAAGTCAGTTAAGCGTTGGACTCTTGATTTCAGCTCGGATCAGGATCTCAGGGTCCTTAGATGGAGACCGCGTTGGGCTCTGTACTCAGTGCAGAGTCTACTTGTCCCTCGCTCTCTCTGCTTTTCCCCCAGTCCCCCGCTGCTCACACTCTCTAAAACAAATAAATAAAATCTTTAAAAAATAAATAAAAATTGGTTTAGCGTGGTGAGGAGTTTTAGAGAATATCATAAATATCATGCTTTTAATTTAATATAGGGAACAAAGATAGCATTCAGTGTTATAATCTGACAATTGAGATCAAGAAAAGAAAAGCAAGTAGGAAGAAGAAAAACTAGTCAAAATATTTACTTAATATTTTTAATTTATTAATTCATTTATGAAAAATAACTTTTCCCAAACCAAAATAAAGTCAGTAAGACAGTTGGCATTGTTTTACATTTTTGGAAATCCCTTTAATGCCCCCACTGGATTCTCATATCTGCTTCTACATTCCATCTGTTGCTATATCAACAAACATAATTTTTTCTCCATGTGGTAGAAACTAAGGATACAGCTAGAATACGAAGATGAATCCTATCCTGTCTTGAGTTTAGACCAGAGGGGTTTGGAGACTTCTAGAAACAAAGAATGAGTGAGTGAGTAGGTGAGTGAGTGAGTAAATAAATAAATGAGTAAATTAATCTCTAGAAAAAGAAAGACCAAGTCATACAGAGATGCAAAGAAATTTACATTTGAGCCCTTAGAGCTATAAACACAGAAACTCAATACTCTTTTGCTTAATATTGTGTTTGTGAGGGGAGGGCAGGGGAGGTCTCACTTGGTTAATAAAGGTCTTAATAGGTGCACATGGGTGATTCATGTGGTTAATCATCTAACTCTTTTTAAGGTTTTATTTATTTAATTGACAGAGAAACACAGCAAGAGAGGGAACACAAGCAGGGGGAATGGGAGAGGGAGAAGCAGGCTTCCCTAATGCACGGCTTGATCCCAGATCTGGGGATTATGACCTGAGCTGAAGACAGAGGCTTAATGACTGAGCCACCCAGATGCTCCAGCATCCAACTTTTGATTTCAGCTCAGGTCATGATCTCAGGGTTGTGAGATTGGGTCTGCATAGGGCTCTGCTCCGGGCATGGAGCCTGCCTAAGATTTTTTCTCTCCCTGTCCCTCTACCCCTCTACCACGACTCTCCCCCTCTAAAAAAATAATAAAGGACTTAATAACTGTCTGTAGCTATAAAAAGTTCCTACTTAAAGTTTCAGCAGAGATGTTCCTGAAATCTTGTTTTGTTGTTGTTAGAAAATAAACAATTTCCTACTATAAAAAGTAGGGCTTTCCCATCCCTTTCCACAATGTTTCAAAAACTGGCCTTAAGGGGCGCCTCGGTGGCTCAGTTCCCTAAGTGTCTGACTTCCACTGGGGTCATGGTCTTGGGGTCCTGGGATCGAGCCCCATGTCCAGCTCCGCACTCAGCAGGGACTCTACTTCTCCCTCTGTCCCCCCAGCCCCGCTCATTCTCTCACTCTCTCTCAAATAAAAAAATAAAATCTTTTTTGAAAAAGATTTTATTTGGGCGCCTGGGTGGCTCAGTGGGTTAAGCCTCTGCCTTCGGCTCAGGTCATGATCTCAGGGTCCTGGGATTAAAGCCCGCATCAGGCTCTCTGCTCAGCGGGGAGCCTGCTTTCTCCTCTCTCTCTCTATGCCTGCCTCTCTGCATACTTGTGATCTCTCTCTCTGTTTCAAATAAATAAAATCTTTAAAAAAAAAAAAGAAAAGAAAAAAAAAGATTTTATTTATTTGTCAGAGAGAGAGAGAGACAGAGTATAAGCAGGGGGAGCGGCAGGCAGAGGGAGAAGCAGGTTCCCCACTGAACAGTGAGCCTCATGCAGGATTCAATTCCAGGACCACCACCTGAGCCGAAGGCAGATGCTTAACTGACTGAGCCACCCAGGCATCTCTAAATAAATAAAATCTTAAAAAAAGAAAGAAAGAAAGAAAGAAAGAAAGAAAGAAAGAAAGAAAGAAAGAAAGAAAGAAAGAAAGAAAGAAAGAAAGAAAGAAAGAAAGAAAGAGGAAAGAGTGAGCCTTAAGTCTCTTGGGAATCTTCCCCTGGAAGGGAGGAATATGTGACACTTTAAACTCTAGGCTAAAGCAGGATCATCATCTCTTGACCCTTGCCTGACAGCAGATTGGGAGCTGGCCAGGAGTTATAGGACCTGACAGGTGGACTGGTGATTCCCCGCTCCAGACCAGTGGTGACAAATTCAAACTATCTTTGGCACTCTTGGCCACTTTCTCTGCTCATCTCTCGCTACTGTACTCCCGCTTTAACATAGTTTATCAGCTTGCCCTCTCCTCATGATTCAAGCAAATTCCTGTATTTCTATTCTTCAACATACAATTTTTTCATCTTCAGAATGCTCTCTCCTCTTTTTTGTTCTGCTGGATCCTGCCCAATATCTCTTCTAATACTTGGTTTGCAGTATTTTTCAGAGGTCTTCCACACATTCATTCGCCATATACTGAGTGGCTAGGCCTCCTGTATTAATTAATCATGCTACTTCTTTTTCTTTTTTATTAAGATTTTATTTATTTAACAGAGAGAGAGATCACAAGTAGGCAGAGAGGCAGGCAGACAAGGGCGGGGGGGGGGGGGGGGGCGGGGAGACAGGCTTCCCGCTGAGCAGAGAGGCGGATGTGGGGCTCTATCTCAGGACCCTGAGATCATGACCTGAACGGAAGACAGAGGCTTAACCCACTGAGCCACCCATGTGCCCCCCCAATCATGCTACTACTTTTTATTCTGCCTCCCTTTTGCCTCCATGTATTTTTATTTTTTAAACGATTTTATTTATTTGACAGAGATCACAAGATCACAAGTAGGCAGAGGGACAGGTGGGGCGCGGGGGAGGGGGAGCAGGCTCTCTGCTGAGCACAGAGCCCAATGCAGGGCTGGATCCCAGGACCCTGGGATCATGACCTGAGCCGAAGGCAGAGGCTTTAACCCGTTGAGCCACCCAGGTGCCCTGCTTCCATGTATTCTTAAAATTTCTTCTTTAATTTCCTGATTATTCTGGAAATTCATTCTATTCTGCCTTCCCATTAAACACAAAAGCAGGGACGCCTGCGTGGCTCAGTCTGTTGAGCCGCTGCCTTCAGCTCAGGCGATGATCCCAGAATCCTGGGATCAAGTCCTGCTTCGGGCTCCTTGCTCCGCAGGGAGCCTGCTTCTCTCTCTGCCTCTGCCTGCCACTCTGCCAGCTTGTGTGCGCTCTCTCTTTCTGATAAATAAATAAAATCTTTAAAAAAAAGGATGTCATAACAACCTTGTCTTCAAAAAACAAAACACAAAAGCAGTGATCCTTTTCTTTCATCGTCCTATATCATTGTCCCAATAATAGTAATGTAGTGTTATGGTTGTAAAGTGCTATGGCAGTAATTTGTACTCCCTTTTAATCCTCACAAAACCCTGTAAAGTGTTAATATTCCTTCATCCACTTCGCAGACATAGAAACTGAGGTTCAGAGAGGTTACTTCAGTCCTCCTAAATCAAACAGATCTTAAGTAGCAGGGAAGGTGGCATCCAAGATCTGGGCTAGCCTCAGAAATCTAGCCTCAACGACAATATTAAGTAAGGCCCTATGAGGACTGGGACAGAGGTTCTGAGGGAGAGGGCTCCCAATCAATAACACTGTCAAATACACAAAACCCAAACCACAGGTCCAGCTTCAGGGCGTGTTTTATTTGTTTAGTTGTACATGGTTTGTTCTTGTTTGGAAGAAGGGGTTACGGTCACTCACCTCTCCCGATCTTGCTCTGGCTCTGCCCAGCCCCTCCCTGGAGGAACCGACGTCCGGAGGCTGGAAGCCAAAGCCTACCCAGGAAGGCGGTGACCTCGGAGGCAGGACCACGGCCTCGAGTCGCGCCGCTAACGGCGAAAGACTGACGCGGTTGGACCGCGCCATTCCCGAAGCGATAAGGGGCGTAATCTTGGCAGTGTCCTTAAACATGAATAGGAAAAGGGTGGTGAGGGTAACCATCTTCCCCGCCCGCTCCTTCTCTTTCTCCGCTCCCCGCCGGGCCCGCCATCCCACAGCTTCATTTACTAAGAGAGTCTTGTGGAATAGAGGGAGGGGGAGAAAGCCACGCACAGCAATTACGGTAACTCGGTTGCTAACACAAACGGGCTCATTTCCATATAATTTGCATGTTCTGGTACTTATGGAAGTACCGGACGTGTCTGTACTTCCTTTCTAACAGGGCACCCGCACCCACCTACGGACCTGCCGCTCTCCGCTCTAGGACAGGAGCCCCTTTCCCTTATCCAGTAAATTTTACTACCTTCTCGGTTCCCTAGCCTCGCAAACGCTACCTCTTAACCTCATGAACATTGGCCCTTCCTCCCATCCGTAGGATCCTCCCTTCGTCCTCTCCTCCCTCCCCAGCTTCCAAACGCGTCTTCCCCGCCCCCTTTTCTATTTCTGAACAGGCATGTTCCAGGCAGCTTACCCGACTCCTTAGATTGCTATGGGATTGGTAGGGTCCTGAGCGTCGGAGAAGCAGGAAGGCATATCCCAAGAAGGGTTGCTGGGACTCACAAGAAGAATTGAGCCCTCCTGGGACTTTTTTTTTTTTGGTGGGGGCGTCTCGCTTTTGCGGAGGGAAGGCGAGGAGGCTGGGCGGCCCGGTCCAACTTGAGGCAGTGCGAAGGCCCCCTCAGGCGGCGCCGAGGGCAGCCCCTAAGCCGGGGCCTGGCTCAGCCGCCGCGGCCGCTGTCAGGGAAGCGCAGGCGGCCAATGGAACCCGGGAGCGGCCGCTGCTGCTGAGGCGGCGGTGTCGGCAGCCCGACCCCGACCGCCCGCACCCCCTCCGTTGGGGGGGGTCCCCAGGAGGTAAGCGACCCCTACCCCGTTAGGCCTCCTGGCCCTGTGAGTTGTGTGGGGGGGGGGGGAGTCCCTCTCCCACCCTGTCCCGCGCAGCCTGCCCCCGCCCCCACACTTGGGTTTGACTACAAAACTGCCCCCTGGGTGGCAGCTGCACCCCGGGTGCCTTCTCCACCCTTTCTCCTCAAGTGTAGGGTCTCCTCTGCTTTTTTGGCTTCCTCTTCTGTTTAGCTCCTCCCTCCGCCCCGGGATCTCCCCCTCCCCCTTATCCCTGTTGCCTCCGTCCCGAATTATTTTCTCCTAAGTCACTAGCCCTTTTCACATCAGGGTACCTCTTGTAATGTCCATTCTTGTTTGCCCTTCCTCGTTATCTGTGTTCCTGCCCCAAACCTTTGCCACAGCCTTCGCCTTCATCCCTTTTCCTATTTTTGCCCCTTCTCCTCTTGTCTCCGTGCAGCGCCAGCACTGGATTCCCATTTCCCTGAGCTCTCTCTTCCCTGTGGCCCTCTATTCCTCTGTTTCTGATTCCATTACCTCACTGCCACCCACCCAGCTTCTAGCTTCCAAGAATTGCCTGTTCCCCTCCCCTTAAGGAATCTCAGGCCCTCATTGTCATTCCCAAAGTAACTATGACACTGTACTTTGACCTTAATCCTTACCCTTCTCTAGAGTGCTTGATGATCCCTGTAACTTTCTTTTGCTTCCCTTTCCCGCATCCTCAGTAACCCAACCTCTGGAGGTTTGTTCCTATAGAAAAGATCTGACAGTGCCTCTTCCCATTCAGGATTTCCATCTCTGGCACCTTCTCTCTTGAGTTTCAAGGATTTTGCTAATCCTGTGACCCTTGGTTCTGCTTTCCCTGTGGTCTTTATGTGTTTTCTGTCACATTCATTATCTCTACATACCACTTACTTCAGGATCAGCTAAACCTTGAACTAAGAAGAAAATATGTTGAGAGGATGGACAGGGGGAGGGGAAAGCAGCTGTTTCACTCAGGCTTTTCTGGACAGAAGTGTGTTTCTGAAGGATGGAGTAAGTTTTGAAGTTCATATCAGATTACACTTTGTTGACTACCCAGGATCAGCCACTAGGAGGGATGAACAGGCCTGCATGGAAACTGTGTGAGATTGTGAGAAATTTTGTTTTGGATTATTTGATTTTAGGCTTGTCCTTAAGAGATCACTGAGTAGAGTGTCTTCCATATCTACAAGGAGTCAATTTACTGTCTGTGGCTTACTGGAATAGTTTTGGTTGATTCCATAAGGGCTTAGGCCTAGGGTGGGGTTGGGAGTAACTGGAAAAAGAATATGAGACATTAGAAAGAGCTTGGACATTCAGAATCAGGACTCCTGGGTTCAGCATGTGACTTCCTCAGTTGACCTTTAGAGTGACCTTTTTGGGAGAAGGGCCCACTCTATAGGCATCAGTGCAGTAATAGGCTACTTGTAGGGTGTGTGTTGGGGGAAGATTAGACTTGGTTTATTTGTTTACAAAATGTTCTGAGTTTCACAAACAAGAGGCTTTCTTTTTTTTTTAAAGATTGCATTTATTTATCTGACACAGAGAGAGAGAGATCACAAATAGGCAGAGAGACAGGCAGAGAGAGGGGGACGCAGGCTCCCCGCTGAGGACCCCGAGATCATGACCTGAGGCTAAGGCAGAGGCTTTAACCCACTGAGTCACCCAGGCGCCTGCAAAAGGCATTTCTTAGTAGTGGTTTAGCTGACCTGAGAGGTTTTCCTTCATTGTGATCTCTGTATTGGGTCTTTCTAGTCGACAGCTGTGGTAGTAAGGCCATTTGAAAGACAAGCTCCAGGACTGTTTCCTTTGTCTGCCTTGCCTTTTTTCTCCACTACATGAAGTTGATGACCACCTGTGCTGTTCCTCTTGGACTTGATCCATAACTCCAGATTCTGTAGGTGGAAAGCGTGTTTGTGGGAAAGCCTTTTGAGGAAAACGGCTGGAAAAGAGAACTTGGAGTGAAGTGGGGCTCAGGAAACTAGTTGCTCTCTGGTATGCCATGTCTCTCTTGGCCTGTGATAGTGAAGAGGGCATGTGAAGTTGCATTTTTCTTCCAACTCTAGGTCTTTTTGGAAGTAATCATACTTCCTCTTCCCACTTCTCCCTTGTCTCTCTCTTAACTATTACCCAGGGTGCAGGCTCCTCATCCTCCTTTTTAGGAGCAGTTTCACTCCTTGGAAACATCCCCAAAGAGAAATTGTATTTCCCCTAGTTTCCCTGCTTCATTCTCAGAGCTGGGTCCACACTGCATGAGAACATGTTTGCTGAATGCCATCCAAAGCAGCAAATTGAGTTCTTTGATTTGGGGAAGAAGTTTGGGAGGAACCTTTCAGTAATTGGCATGAGACAAGAGAGGGCCTAGTCCAAGCACATTTGGGGCTTGCTGCAGGGAGGAACAGTTCAGAGCAAGGTGAATGCACAGGTTACTTTCTTTGCCATCTCTCTGTTTCAGCAGGGGCTCCCAGAGCTGGCTTGGGCTGTCTGACTGGATCTGCTTATACCAGCTCCCATGGCCCTGCATAGAGACTTCTCAGCTTGATTCAGTATTGACTTAATTACCCTGAGACCACTGCCTTCCCTACCTTTCTGCTGCTAGCTCAAGACTGCCCTCTTCCCTGATGCCAGTCCCCCCACTGGGGCCTTGGGGAAGCATTCACGTGATTCCTGCTAGGACCTGAGCCTACTTCACTATTTGGCCCCAAGTTTTATGAGGAAAAAGTAGTACTTGATCTTCACTTTGTCCATTGAGGTCAAGGGGGAAAAATGAGCTGAGACCCTTTTAACAAAAGGTTTGAGTTAGACTTTGAGATATGAGGAGGAACTTCTCAACAGCTGAACAAGCAGCCTAAGGTGATGCGGTATCTCTTTGGAAGAGCAGCTTCTTTTTAAAAATTATCATCAAAGGTGGGGTGCCTGGCTGGCTCAGTTGGTGGAGCACACAACTCTTGATCTCTGATTTGTAAGTTCAAGCCCCACGATGAGTGTAGAGATTACTTAAAAAAATAAAATCTTCAAAAGAAAATTATTATCGAAGGCAAACATGCACTTCGTAATAAATCCAATGGTACCTAAGAGTTTATGGTGAAATCAGCAGTCCCTTTCCATTCTGCCCATTAGAGTGCCCATCCATTCCCCCCTTTAGAGTGAACATCTTAATTATCTCCATGTTATTTCTGAAGGTTATCACCATAGCATTGGATAAAATGCTTGTGCCTCTATTTCTCGATTTTTTAAATTTATTAATTGTTACAAAAGAAGATTGAACATTAGAGGATTTATACTTCTTGTTTATATAATTGTCATTATTATTTATTAGAAGCCTGTGTAATTTTAAATAACATGTGAACTTCTCTTTCTTTTCCATGAACTTGTAACAGTCTCTTTTAACTATCCACCTTGTAGGATGAAGATAGTGGCTTCACTATCCTTTTCCAACTCACACGATCCATCTCAAAGGGAGGAAAATTGAGCTTGCCTATCTGCTTGGAAATCAGATGATCTCTTAAGACAATTCCACGAAAGTACAGGAACCTTTAAAAACACAAGGATTTGTCTGAACCAGTTCATATTTTTCTAGTCCCTCAAGAAGGGAATGGTCATTAGCCTGGTGGGGGGATTGATTTGGGGCTTTCTGGTATCTTGTCTCAGCAGAGACCAATCCAGGAAACCCTTTAATGGAGATCAGTGGGGTGTTGGAGGACTCTTTGCCTGGAATCTTTTGAGGTGACAAGAAACAGAAAGCCAGGTTAAACGTCCCCTCTCCCTAGAGTTTTTGCAGACATTTACTTAAATGCTAAGTCATACAGAACACAAGCATGTATACCCTCTCTGTCCTCTATAGCCACTGCTGTGCTCAGCCCTGAACAGCCCCCTGATGCATGGATGAGGATTCCCTACATTACCCAATTAGCTGTGGAGCCCAGTCAGTTGTTAACACTCCTCCACTCCCACCCCAGTGCCTAGAAGCCAGCTGCTAGGCTGGGGTGGGGAAGGCCTCTAAGGGTTCCTTCATCATCCAATTGGAAGACCAGTTTAGGCTCCCAGTGTGAAATGTGGAGCCTCAGTTGTTTGAATGTTCTTGAGAGCATAGGAGCCATTTGATATTAAAGGTTTGGATTGTCGTCTTTTTTCCTGTTCTCTTGCAAGGGGAAGGGTGATGAATATAGGACCTCTTCCTTTTTTCTTTTGCTTTCTAGTCCTTTCGCTTTCTTTAGAATGGTTCCTTACCAAAATTATATTGTCTTTGCTTTTGAAAATGAATGAATTGATGTTGAAGATTGTATTAGGACTTAGGTGTTGGAAAATCCCTTTCCTGTTTCTTATTGTCTAAACTGGCAAGTCAACACCTCCTCTCCCCATGACTTGTTTCAGATGTAGCCAATCCTTGAGGCTCAGGGAGGCGAGGGAGGTCCAGCTCCAATTTGGTAGTCCCTAGTGGCAGAGCCACTAGAGAGGAGTCCAGCTTCCTTACATCTCTTGACACCATCTGGTTCCGTGGGGAATAAAGACTGTGAGATGGGGGGTCTGTTCAGTGGAAAAGTCCCCTGAGTGCTGTGATGCAGGATTCTTGGCTAAGCTCTGGGATAAGAAATAATAATAATAATAATAATGGCATCCTTCCCTCCCCTCCTGGTGCCAGTAATAATCCCAGTAGTGATCAGTTGAGACAGGTATCTGCTGAGGATCCTGGGAGGTCTGAGGTGCTGTATATGGGAGGCTATCTGAACTTCATGTCCCTTGGAAGTTTTGAAAAGTGGATTTCAGGAGCTTTTGATAACTTGGAAGTCTGGAGTAGAGAGAAGGGGAAAGATTTGCCAAGCATAGAGACACTGAGGGAAAAATAAAAGCTGGTTGTGTAAAATGACTGAGGCTATCATGTGAGTTTTTCAGCAAACCTAAAAGGTGGTGGTCTCAGTTGAATTAGAATGACCCACTGGTGCAGAGTGCTCTGCAGAGTTGTGGCAAGGAGTGGTTAAAGCTTTCTTATTATTTCTGTGTAACCTAAAGTTGGCGAGTAGAGACAGCTCCACATAGGCAGCCATGCTGGTTCTACTACTCAGAGGGCTCTGCCTAATTTTAGGAGAGAGCATGATGAACGAGTTGCCAAATTTTTACTGATACCAAGCTTAAGCTTCATCAGAGAAATTAAATTCAGGGATGCGAACTTCTTGTTTGACAGAGTGGGGAGAAAGATAAACTGAAGTAGCCTTTTTTGGTGATCTCTGAGAACAGAAGAATTCCTCATCTGTCTTCCTACAAGACTTTAGTAGTGACTGCTGGGAGGCAGGGAGCTAGACTATAGTATGGGCAGAGCAGAGTAACTGACTTTTTTTTTTTTTTTAAGATTTTATTTATTCATTTGACAGAGAGAGCACAAGTAGTCAGAGCAGCAGACAGAGGGAAAGGGAGAAGCAGACTCTCTGCTGAGCAGAGAGCCTGATGCGGGGCTCGAACCCAGGACCCTGGGATCGTGACCTGAGCCCAGGGCAGCCCCTTAACCAACTGAGCCACCCAGGCGCCCCTGAGATTAACTGACTCTTAACATTTCAGAGGTGCAAGAAGAGGCACTGGAAGGGTGGTGGTGGGAAATGGGGCTTCCCGCAGTGATTAGAGAATTTGTATCTCAAGCGTCCTTTCACCAACCCAAAGTTATATGCACCCAGCCTTGCATCAAAGGCAGCATCACTAATAGTTGGAAACTACCTGCATTTCAGCTCCACAGTAGATTCTGCCTTCCTCTTGCTCATGCTCTTGAGTTAATCTTAGACTCACTCTCATTTGTGTTTTTGTGAAAAGGCCTCTGAGCCTGCTGTTGACTATAGTCAGGCTCTGGAGCTGGGTTGATCTGACATCAACAATGTGCCTCTCCCAGTCTTTGCTTTGAAATTTCCTTCTGTTCTACTATTCTAATCCAAATTTGGTGGGGCTCAGGAAAATCGTTCTAGGAGGGCAGTGGCTTTTGTCAGCAATGTTCTCTCACCCCATAGAGGGATTCTTGGTGATGTGATTCCTGTTCCTCCCTGTTCTTTGGATGTTATAGACCCATGAGCTCTAGCTGAATTCTTTTTGCCTTCTCCCAGCCTTTCTAGTTCTTGGGCTGTGTGTATGGTAATGGAGAAAGTAGTGTTGGGGGTAGGAGAGGGGTGTCATGGGAGATTCTTAGACAACAAGTTTTTGGGAGATTCTTAGACAAGTGTAACTCTGATTGACTTATTTCCTTATAAACAGTGTATGTGTGTGCACACACACACTCGTACACATACACACTGTTTCCTGATTTGTTAGGTGATTAGGATTCACCTAATATTTATTGAGTACTACTGCGTGCCAGGGACTGTGCTAGATCCTACACTCATGAAGTTTTCCCGCACAGCAGTAATAAGAAGTAGATGTGTTTTTCCCATTTTGCAGTTGAGGAAACAAACTCAGAAGATACATGGTTTGCGTAAGTTTACACATCTGATAATGGCAGAGCTAGGATTTTGAATCCCAGCGCATTTGACTCCCAAGTTCAAGAGTCTATCCACTATAACTAACTGCTACAGCACAAGAGAAAGGGGAAATGACATGAAGCCAGACAAGCAAGAAATGGCACGCTTCAGCAGGGGTGTTGGTGGTGGTTTAAGAGCTGTTTTCTTCTCAGTGAAGCCTGGATGTTATTTGCTGGCCCTTATTCCTTGGGAACTTTGAGTATGAAGGGAAAGTAAGAAAGTATCTGTGTCTAGAAAAACACATCAGGACTTGGATACTGGGGGCATCTGGCTGGCTCAGTCGGAAGAGCATGGGACTCTTAATCTCAGGATCTTGAGTTCGATCGAGCCCCACATTGGGTGTAGAGATTACTTAAATAAAAATAAACCTTAAGGGGCGCCTGGGTGGCTCACTGGTTAAAGCCTCTGCCTTCGGCTCAGGTCATGATCTCAGGGTCCTGGGATCGAGTCCCGCATCGGGCTCTCTGCTCAGCAGGGAGCCTGCCTCCTCCTCCTGTCTCTCTCTGCCTGCCTCTCTGCCTACTTGTGATCTGTCAAATAAATTTTTTAAAAATCTTAAAATAAATAAATAAATAAATAAATAAATCTTTAAAAAAAGAAAAGACTTTGATACCAAATGGAGGTGAGATGCTTAGGACTTGTGTCTGGAGTGTTATAGGAGTAAGGAAATATGAGAGGAAAAGAGAAAGGTATTGGCAGGCATGTCAAGAGAAACACAAGACAACAAAGATAGAAAAGCATTTGAAGAGTGAGAGACAAGGGAATAAGACCAGAAATGCTTCCCAGTCTACCTGAAGAATTTGTAAACCTATGTAAACATAACGTATAAAGCAGCATTTTGCAAATGCAAGTTAGGAACAGAGGCTAAGCAGATAGCTAAGTGCAGAAGGAGGGGAGAGTACTGTGGTGATCAGCAGTGGAGGTAGTCAGGGAAGGCTTCCGGGGACATGACTTCTCATCTGATTTTGAAGGAGTCTAAGAAGACAAAAGAGAGGAGGGGCCTGGGAAGGTTTCATGGTAGGTGAAAGGAAGACCGGAGGATGCACTACTAACCATTGTATGTATGTGTCTCCCTTTCTGTTCCTTTCTCCCTCCTTCCTCCTATAGCTTGGAAGCTCGAAGTCTGGCTGTGGCCATGGGAGACATGGTGGTGGAACCTGCCCCCCTGAAGCCAACTTCTGAGCCCACTCCTAGCCCGCCAGGGAATAATGGGGGTTCCTTGCTAGGCGTCATCACAGAGGGGGTCGGGGAACTATCAGTGATTGACCCTGAGGTGGCCCAGAAGGCCTGCCAGGAGGTGCTGGAGCAAGTCAAGCTTTTGCATGGAGGCGTGGCCATATCTAACACAGGTACCCCACTGGAGTTGGTCAATGGGGATGTTTTGGACAATGCGATCCGTTGCCTGGACGATCCACCTGCCCAGATAAGGGAGGAGGAAGATGAAATGGGGGCCACTGTGGCCTCAAGCACAGCCAAGGGAGCAAGGAGGCGGCGGCAGAACAACTCTGCCAAACAGTCCTGGCTGCTGAGGCTATTTGAGTCAAAACTATTTGATATCTCTATGGCTATTTCATACCTGTACAACTCCAAGGAGCCTGGAGTACAAGCCTACATTGGCAACCGGCTCTTCTGCTTTCGCAATGAGGATGTGGATTTCTATCTGCCCCAGTTGCTTAACATGTACATCCACATGGATGAGGACGTGGGTGACGCCATCAAGCCCTACATAGTCCATCGCTGCCGCCAGAGCATTAACTTTTCCCTCCAGTGTGCCCTGTTGCTTGGGGCCTACTCTTCAGACATGCACATTTCCACTCAGCGACACTCCCGCGGGACCAAGCTCCGGAAGCTGATCCTCTCAGATGAGCTGAAGCCAGCTCACCGGAAGAGGGAGCTGCCCTCCTTGAGCCCAGCCCCTGACATGGGGTTGTCTCCCTCTAAGAGGACTCACCAGCGCTCTAAATCCGATGCCACTGCCAGCATAAGTCTCAGCAGCAACCTGAAACGAACAGCCAGCAACCCTAAAGTGGAAAATGAGGATGAGGTAAAATGCCCGGGAGGGGCAGTGGGGCAAGATGGCATGGAGACAGGATGTCTGACATACAATTCCTCTGTCCTTTTCTCTCCTTCCCTCTGTTCCATTTCACTGATAAAAGCATGGGATGTCAGAGTGGAAAAAGACCTTAGAAATCATGCATCCCAACTGTCTCATTTTACAGATGAAGAACTCAGAGACCTAGAGAGATAGAAGTGACTTGCCTCAGGTCATGTAGCTAACAACAAGGCTGACAATCCTGACTCTGTCTAGTTGTTTTTACTCAACTTCACTGCCATTCCATTAACCACTTCCTTACTGAGAATGGTGGCAGAGACCCTCTTCACCTTGACTTGAGACCTGGGATATCTACCAGAACCTCTCAGAGTAGCAGCCATCAGGGAGGAAAAGGGATGGTGTGTGTGCTGGGGGGAAGGGTATAAATAGAGCCTTAACTTCATTCTCCTGGTCACTCCTCCTCATAATCCTCTGCCCCACTTTCCAAAGATCCTGCTTTTTGTTGACTTAAGAATAAGGTTCCTTCCCTATCACTGAGGTATCTACAGAATGCCCTCATCCCTGCCTTTCCTTGGGGAAGAGATGTCTTAGCATTTGGGAGAAGCACAAAGGGAAGAGGGAACCGGTCTTGGTGTAGAAGAAGTCTTGGGCATGTCCAGAGTCTAGTCAGAGACCTGAAAGCTGGAAAGAAGAGGAGGCCACAGGAGCATTTGGGGGTATCCAGAGCAGGGAGGAAATAAGCACATCAGTAGGTTATGCCCACCTTCCATTCCATATCTGGACTGATAGCTTGGAAGTTGCCACTGGACAGTTGTCAGTGACCTGGTGTCCCAAGCCAGACAATGATGCCCCAGTCCCCCCTCTGACTCACCACTGGCCCAGCTCTCATCCTGGCTGCCAGCCCAGCCTGGGAAAGAAGGGAGAAAAGAACAAGGAATTTGCACTTGTTGGAAAATGCATATTGCTGTGGTGGTGGCATCTACTCCATGGGGCACATAACCCACCTACGGTTTTGATACAATGGGACTTCTTTTCAGCTTCTTTGAATCTGAGCGACCAGGGAAGGGAAAAGGCAGGACAGAGGGAAACTACAGAGCCTGCTTTCTGGGAAATTTTGGGTTTTGTTAGGATAATAATAGTGAAGCTAAAAGAGCTGACATGTATTGGGCCCCCTTAAGTGCCAAGCATCCTGCCAGGTACTTAACATTTCATCCTCAACAGTCTTAAGAGACAGGGATTATTTTACCATTGAAGAGACAAGCTTAGAGAGATGAGGTGATTTGCCCAGCGTCCCTCAGCTGGGCCTCACATCAGGTGTTGCTCTTAATCATTCAGCTGAGCCATCTTGCTTATTTCTCAGTATCTGCATTCCCTGGTCCTCAGCTGTCCACTTGGGGAAGAATGGCCTAAGCCCATCTAGGTTTCCACAATTCCCTGCACAGGCAGAAGAGCGCAGACGTTCTCAGAACCAAAATGGACCATTTTTTTTTCTGGTTGAGCTTGGCAGGGAAGTTCAGAGTCATGAGGGAGGTTGTTGCAGAACAAGAAGAATCATCCACATCTGGTGGGACTAAGGTCCTGAAGGGGTTGGGGGCCCCTTCTCTTGGGGTCAAGCCTGTAGCAGTATATGTGTGAGCAGCTGCAAGTGAGCCCCTTGATGCCCCCTGTCAGGCATGGCTTTTCTCTATACTCACTTGGTAGTCGCCATCTTAGGACTAGAAAAGCTGAAGCCTCGGGCCTACTCTGTGCTGGTCCTTGGTCCCTCTTCCTTGGATCTAACTCCTTCCGAGGATGGGATTATAGGTGACTATGAGACACAGGTATTCTGTGAGCGCTAAATCCTCTGGGGTGGCTTTTCTGGCTGCCATTCTTCCCTGGCTCCTTATCATGGGTTATTAGATCCAGGAAAGGAAGGAGATACCAGATCCTAGGCATTCCTGGCTTATCTGATGCCAGCAGAATGAGATACCCCAATCCACTGTGTGTTCTTAGGAAACGTGAGAACAGGAGTGAGCGAATAAATGTGAATATCTCTGGGGTCTGAGCATTGGAGTCTTCAGCACAGAGGTCTGTCCGAACCCCTTTGGCAGTTTGAGGATATGTCTGTCAAGGCTTTTGTTCCCCACATACCAAGGGAATTGGTTTTCCTCCTTCTGCTTCTCCTTCTCCCCTGTTATGCAACATTCATTCACTCAACTAATGAGCTTGTACCGTGTGCACAGCGCATGCCAGAGGCAGTGAGGGATGAAGGATGAAGTGCGGCTCTTCCCTCCAAGAATTTGTAATGTGGAGACCTCATTTTATCTACAAGTCCGTGTAGTGTGTGACTCTCAATTTTGTATACTGAAACTTTACAGAATTTATCTGGTGGAGTTTTTGACTCTCTTGAAAAGCTGTTTCCTGCATATAAGGAGGAAGTCTACAGCTTACTAAACAAAGCACGTCACTATCTAAGGAGAAGTTCTAGAGGATAAAGTGAGGCCACTGAGAAGAGGCCCCTGCTCACGTAGCTCTCTTCCTGCCCGGAGTCTCCCTGCATGGTCCTTTTCTGCCCAGATCTCACACGGGGGTTCTGTTTTCTCTTAATGATGGATCTTTCACACTCTCCACAACAAGCCAAGGACTCTAGCACAGATTTCTCCCAGCACCCACTGTTTCAGCCCCCGAAGCCTGCTGCTTCAAAGCAGATTTTGTCATCCTAATTGGAGGAGTCTGCTCAGGTAGTCTTTCTTCCCATTAGTAGCCAAATGGTAAACATTTTGGCCTAGAATGGGGGCCCAGGGAGCAGAGATGATTTAGCTACCGCCCCACCCCCCGCCCCACATCATGACACTCTAGTAGATCAGCTCTGGCTATTCAGGACTATAACCTTTGTACAGAGAAATCTGTTGGCACGTCACAGTTGAAGCCCCAGTGGGCCTTCCAGCCTAATGTGTGGTGTCAGCTTCTTGGCCTCAGCTTTTCTCCTGGAGCTGACTCAGTATGAGTGACTCAAGCCTACAGCGTAGGAGAGAGGAAAAGATCATGATATACCTCCCTTCCCCCAAGGCTACTAATAAGTCAGCCAGGCCCTGTCTGTGGAAGAATCAGCTGGAGCATTGCTCATGGAGCTGGTATCCTGCCTGCCGTTCCTTCCCCAACCACCTCATGGATAGAAATTGAACCACTAAGTCCGAATAGGCCCCGACATCCTCACTGCCTCAGTTCTTCCTCCCATCTCTTGCCAAAGCAGAGGAGTTTTTGCCTTGAGATAGTATTTGGCCTGGCCTCTCCAAGTGCCCCTCTTCTCAGATTCTTCGAGGAATATCCTGACTCTAGGACCTCCAGCTAGAAGAGAATGTAACCTGTGGAATAGAATTAAGTAGATGCTTGAAATGCTGATTGTGGAGTAGAAGCTCAGTGACTACTGCCCTCCTGCTCTGGGAGCTCCCAGGACTCTGTCTCTAAGTCCAGGCCCCTGCCCTCCTGCCATCTGTGCATGCATATTGCCGCCTTCTCCCTCCCCTGGGAGACCTTGGCAGACAACTCAGATTGGGCCCATGCACAAGCTGCAGTAGAGCTGCTGATGGCAAGTGTGAGCACCAGCCCTTTTCCAGTAAGACACGGCTGGGTGAGATTCAGATAAATCTCCTAGGCTGGAACCTGGACAGTTGCTGCCCCGCTGCTCAGTTTTCTCAGGTAGATGGAGCTAGGACCAGCTCCCCAGCTGAGGTCCAAAAATTGTAATGTACTGAGTGTGGCATGAAACAGATAGGAAGGGGCGCCTGGGTGGCTCAGTGGGTTAAAGCCTCTGCCTTGGGCTCAGGTCATGATCCCAGGGTCCTGGGATCAAGCCCCATATCGGGCTCTCTGCTCAGCGGGGAGCCTGCTTCCTCCTCTCTCTCTGCCTGCCTCTCTGCCTACTTGTGATCTCTGTCTGTCAAATAAATAAATAAATAAAATCTTTAAAAAAAAAAAAAAGAAAAGAAACAGATAGGAAGCCTGAGGAGGTTAAGTAGATAGGAGAGTTAGCCATCTTTTACACCTAGCAACACCTAGCCCAGAGGTGTCATGCTCATGGATCTGGGGTGTCCCTTCTCACGTGGCTCAAGGTTGGGACTGGTCTTCCCAGGATGATAATGAGGCTGGTTGGAAAGGAGACACCCCTGGTACTGAAGTTTAGCTCTTTGACTTCCACCCCGACATTTGCAAGAAGCTGGAGGAATGCAGGCATTCCAGTATGGGGGCCATGCAACTTGTTAAATTCAGTTTCTTTGTGGCGGCTTCCACAGAGAAGGGTTTGGTTGGGAGCATGTGAGTGGCTGAAGAGAAAGGAGGCTGCTAGGCAGTACACTTACTGCCCTGAGGCACCCAGCTGTAGGGTATGTCCTCGAGGGAGAGCTTGGTGCAGGCCAGGAGAAAAGGGGAGAAAGTGAAAAGCCCAGGCCCTCTGTCTCTTCAGCTCTTCTGACCCGATGATCTGAGCCAGTCCTCCAGCATCTCCCACAAGCTGCAAGAATTTGGGCAAGTGGTGTTTCTGGGTTGACTTTCTCTCATTAAAGCAGCCAGGTAGAGATACACGAGAGAGAAGCAGTTACAATCCAAGTTGGAGCTAAATTCTTTGCCTTTGTCTCTCTCCCCTCCCTCCCTGCCCTTCCTCCTGCCCTTGCCCTCTGGCCCTTTCCCAGGAGCTCTCTTCCAGCACCGAGAGTATTGATAATTCATTCAGTTCCGTAAGTGGGGCCAGGCTGGGACTGGGTGGCAGGCTCCCCCCTGTGGCCGCATTTCCTCTCCGTCCCCAGGTCTTCTGAGTCCCCAGGCCAAGGCTGGAGTTAAAAGGTGCCTTTTCTTCCTGGGAGATCAGCCCTTCCCTCCCAGGACTTCCCAGCCTGGAGGAGTCCCCTGCCCTTTGTCACCAGTGCCCTGAGCCTAGGCTTAGTCCGGCTCAATCCTTCTCCCAGACGGAGCTGGGATGCAGTGCGACTCAGCCCCCAGTTCCGGGTCTCTAGAGCAATCAGCTGGGAGAGAGGTAGAATTTACCCCTGGATTGGAGTCAAGAACTGCTTGGCAGAAACCCCCGGGATCCTATTTCTCCCACCCAGAACCCTTTCCCCATGGCTTCTGCCATCAGACCATCAAATATTTATTTGGTTCTTCTAAATGCTGGGTGCTGTGCTGGGGAGCAGACCCCAAAAGCAAACAGGATTTGGCCTGAAGGAAAGTTTTACCTCCTTACAGCCAGTTTTCTTTTTTAGTTTCAACCATCTTTCTTCCAGGTCTGAGTTCTTCCCTTTCCCAGCTCACTGCCCAGGAGGTTCCTTAATCTGCATTCTCCTTTCTTGTTCCCTCTGGACTAACCCCTGACCCTCTGGTCCCACAGGGTCTCAGACCTTGTTGCTGGGCAGAGACGTGAGAGGAAATGCTGGGCCCTCTGGGAGTTTGGATGATTTTTTTACATTTTCTTTTTTATTTATCTACCCAATCAGTTTTCTCCCTTCTGTGCTGATCCCCTTTCAGTCATGATTCCTATCTCCTCCCATGTGGCAGAGCCTCTCTCAAGGCCTGGGGTCACATCTCCAACATGCTGAAGGAACATAGCTCCCCCCTTTATCCAAATGCTCCTTTGAGGATGGGAAGGAATTCTGCCTTTTCTAATCTGAGTTGAGTATGAATTGGTTGGGGTGGAGAGTCCTTGGAACAGTGACCATTTGCCACCTGAGTGGATAGATTAGGGATCAGGATAAATGAAGGAGTGAGTTTCCAAATTTCCTCTTCCTTTCTTTTGCTTTCTCCATGAGGCCCCTGGGATATTTCCAGGGACCACAGAAGCCCAGTTCTGCTGTCTTCTTTTCTTGATCTCTTTTCAACCCTGTCTCCCAGGGCAGCCCCATTTGATTCCCCATACCCTATTTCATTATTATGTGGGACCCTGAGCCAGTGCCCAATGAGGCAGAGGCTGAAAAATGAGCTGTTCCTTTGAACCTTGGCTCTTTGCATATGCAGGGGTGGACCCCGGTACTACCCATCTTTCAGAAAGAAGCTCTTTTTTTTGCAGTGTGAGGGTAGAAATTCTCAGTTCTTAGGAAACTAAGTAGGACCCACAGAGAGGGAGAGAAAGACCTGGTGAGTGAAATGCTGTTTTTTATAAGAAGAGGAAATATTGTTCTTACCTAGCTGAGGGGAGCTGGGATAGGGATGCTGGTGGCTACCTTGATAAAGTACCCCTAATGGTAGAAGGACTTAGGCTCTGAAAAGGGCTCTTCTTTGTGTCCATCTTTTCCCCCACCCTCACCTTACTGCCCAGACGGACTGTGCCTTCTCTGGGAATGATGAAGTGCCCAGCCTGAGGAGCCAGGCTCATAGCAGGGAGTTAATATGGGGAGCCTGTCCCTGAGAGGTAGGGAAAGAGGACCCAAGGAGGAACCACTGAAGGAGACAGACCTTCAGGGCCCTTGTCAGGGGCTGACAGGAGCTATTGCTTTCTCCACCCACTCCCCACTCCTACCTCCCTCTGTCTGCTTTTTCTGTCCGGGTTGATTGTTCCCTCATTAACACAGTCTGCTCATCCCCTTCTGATCCCCCGCATGTGCACTGACACCTTGTCAGAGATTGTGGGGATGGATAGGGGGATGCTGTGAAAGGTAACAAAAGTCATTTGAATGGATTAAGTCCTTCTTTGAAAGGAGTTGTAGGGACTCAGAGTGCCCCTCCCTAGTCTGGGGCACTGGCAGAGGCCCTCAGCAGAGACTCAGCCCGAGGACCTGGAGATAAGTGAAACGCATCAGGTATAAGCAGCTCTTCTCTCTGGATGTTGTCCCCCAACCCATTCTGAAGCCTTGGGACAGTTCGTAACAAATTCATGTCCAAAAGAAGAGGGTTACCTCCAGTGACACAGGTTCCCACCCTCCTCACCCTCAAGAATCAGCCTGTGGAGGAGTGTGCTGGCTTTTCTACCTTTGCCCAGCTGATGTTGTCAGGGGTGGAATGGTAGCATGTCCCACCAGTGCTGAAAGATAGCTCCTTCCCTAGCGTTCTCCAGACTTTGGGATCCATGGCTAGGAGTGGCTGAGTGGGCGGGCCACTTTTTCTGTGGTTTCTTCACCGTCTTTTACTTTGCCCCAACCCCCTGTAGCCCGTCAGACTGGCTCCTGAGCGAGAATTCATCAAGTCTCTGATGGCGATTGGCAAGCGGCTGGCCACGCTCCCCACCAAGGAGCAGAAAACACAGCGGCTGATCTCAGAGCTCTCCCTACTCAACCATAAGCTCCCTGCCCGAGTCTGGCTGCCCACTGCCGGCTTTGACCACCACGTGGTCCGTGTGCCCCACACCCAGGCTGTTGTCCTCAACTCCAAGGACAAGGTAGGTGGGCTCTGGCCCATACCCTACCCCCTATTTGACTCCTCCTGTGGTTGTCAGGTTCATGCGTGCACCCAGGGATGCTTCACCAACATCCTGGCCTCCACGGTTCATGTGCACATGTCGGTCTAGACTTTACCTCAGTGCTGTTGTGATTCTGAGGGCCTTTTTGTCCCCCTTCTTTGGTCCTTGGTTTTCTGGACCAAAAGAGGCCTAATCTTTTCAGCTTGCCTCTTCTTCCCATGTCTCAGCAGAGACTTGCTCTCCAGTCTCCTTCCAGCCCTTTGGTAGCTCTTCCCCAGCCCTTCCATAACTCTTAGGCTTTCCAGATACAGTGACAGTGGGAGTAGAGACATCTCTTATTTCTAAGACCTTTGCTGATCAGAGTGGGAAGGTAGAAGGAGAGAAGGATGCCGGACTCACGTTGGAGAGAATTAGCTGTCTGCTGATTGGAATGAGTACTAATGGTTCAGATTCTTCTTTCAGAAGAAGTATTGAGGATTAGAACCCTGCTTGGAAGAGTTCCTGGCTTTTTCCCAGTCTCTGTCTTTAGACAAGCCCCTAGATGGGTTTCTAGGCCTCTCTGAAAGTGGTAATTGGTAGTTTTGCCCGAGTATATCATCTGTACATGTTGAAACTCAGCTGAAACTTTTTTTTTTAAAGATTCTATTTATTTGGGTCACCTGGGTGGCTTAGTGGGTTAAAGCCTCTGCCTTCGGCTTAGGTCATGATCCCAGGGTCCTGGGATCGAGCGCCGCATCGGGCTCTCTGCTCAGCAGGGAGCCTGCTTCCCCTCTCTCTCTGCCTACTTGTGATCTCTGTCTGTCAAATAAATAAATAAAATCTTAAAAAAAAAAAGATTCTATTTATTTATTTGACAGAGAGAGACAGCAAGAAAGGGAATACAAGCAGGGGGAGTGGGAGAGGGAAAAGTGGGCTTCCCACTGAGCAGGGAGCACGATGCGGGGCTCAATCCCAGGACCCTGGGATCATGACCCGAGCCAAAAGCAAATGCTCAACTGACTGAGCCACCCAGACGCCCCATCAGCTGAAACTTTTTTTTTTTTTTTTTAAAGATTTTCTTTATTTGAGAGAGAGATTAAGAGAATGAATCAGAGGAGGGGCAGAGGGAGAGCAATGTGGGACTCTATCCCAGGAGCTTGGGATCATGACCTGAACTTGAAGGCAGGCACTTAACCAGCTGAGCACCCCTGGCACCCATCGGCTAAAACATTTTAAAGACATATGCACTCTCTTGCCCAAATTCTTGAAATGTATGTTCATAGGACAAGTTCCTGCCCTGAATGTGGCGTTCATGGTATCAAGGGACTGACAGGTGAAGGTTGGAGCTGGGAGTGGGCAGCTGGAAGGACTGTGTCAGCTGAGTTGAGATTTGGGGCATGGTGATGGAGGGAAGTTGGAAATACTGTTCTTACATACACACTGCTCCTCTAGGCTCCCTACCTGATCTATGTGGAAGTCCTTGAATGTGAAAACTTTGACACCACCACCGTCCCTGCCCGGATACCCGAGAACCGAATTCGGAGCACACGGTCGGTGGAGAACCTGCCCGAATGTGGTATCACTCATGAGCAGCGGGCAGGCAGCTTCAGCACTGTGCCCAACTATGACAACGATGACGAGGCCTGGTCGGTGGATGACATCGGCGAGTTGCAGGTGGAGGTGAGGAAGCTCCCGGGAGGTGGTACTGGGGCCCAGCACCCGTTCTCCATCAACTTTCACTGTATTTGATACAAGGCAACACACCTGAGGCAGGCTGAGGCAAGTGCCCATGGGGACGAGGGGGAAAGCTCTGAACACCGCTAGTCTGGAATATTCAGGTGGAGCTCACTTTCCTGCAGATGGAATTTAGGTTAAATATAAGGATGAACTTCTAAGCCCAAGGGAGTGAGGGAAACTTAAAATATTTCTTGAACATCTGCTATGTAAAGTTGTCTGAGGAAAGTAGAGAATAAGTCATACATTCATTCCTTCAAGAAATATTTATGGAGAGCCTTCTTTATGCCAGCCTGGAGTGCTGTGGACTGGTGAACAAGATGGCCCCTGCCACAAGGAGTTCATGACTTAAAGAGAAAGGGAACAAAACCAGTTAACAGGTAGCTGGAGTATGGTGAGATCCAGGTTGTGCTGGGTCATTATGCCACCCCTGAGGGTGGGGGTAGGACGATCTCCAGACTTGGGCCTGGGCACACCTTAAGTGATTTCCTGAGGAGCAGATATGTCAGCGGGGCCCTGAAGATGGGTAGGAATTCTCTGGACAGAGAATTCCCTGCAGAGGGAATAGCAGATGTGCAGACTGGAGAACAAGACAGCTCAGCTCGTTTGAGGAACCAAAGGACATTACATGTGGCTGTGATGTGCAGTGTGGGTGAGAAGTGGTGAAGAAGGAGGCTGGAAAGGTTGTCGTGAGCCAGATTGTAGGAAGGATTCTGTCAACTATGGAAGGAGATTTGGACTTGGTGCTGGGGTTGTGAAGAGCCAGAGCTGCATTTTATGTAGGACTGTGACACAAGCAGATGTCACTTTGTGAAGACAGACTCTCTGTCCTTGAGCTTACAGTCCAGTTAGGCAGATTGGATGCAAACATTTAAGGCGAAAAATCCATTTCCAGGATATACAACAAGGCAGTGTGCAGTAAGTGCCTAGTGGAGTTGAGAAGTGATCTGCTCCGGAGGAAGAAGAAGGGAAGGGCCTTGCTGTGGACCCTGAGGTCTGTTGGAATATTTTGTATTTGAGAGAGTTGGGAAGATTAGACTGAATGGCTGAGACTGAAGAAATGGTCAGAGGGTCCTAGTTGTGGACCCTGCAGAAGGCAGCTGTAGCCAGGGAAAACTCATAGTAGAAGGCCGAAAGTACAGCTTTCTCTGGAGGTCGTGACAGTGGTGTGCAAACCTGAGCACACTGGGGGTCTTCTGGAGAACTTGTTACAAATCCCATTCCTGGTAATTCTGCTTCAGACGGATGGCGGGATATGGTAATCTGTCTTGTAGCAGCATCCCAGGTGATCCTGATGAGGTAGTTTACACTCAGGGAAGCATTGCTGTAAGGCCCGTGTGAGTGCCCAGGCGTCTGGTGTCCAAGTGGTGAGGATGGCGTGGAAGCAGGGCAGGCCTTCTGCAACAGAGTCCAGAAGTTGGGGGGCTGTCATGATGCAGAGGCGACAGCAAGCGTGCAGAGTGACTGGAGGAGCAGGTGACGGAAGTGAGGCCTGTGTTTGGCGCTTCTGACCTGTGGTCCCCTGCTCTCCCAGCTCCCTGAAGTGCACACCAACAGCTGTGACAACATTTCCCAGTTCTCTGTGGACAGCATCACCAGCCAGGAGAGCAAGGAGCCTGTGTTCATAGCAGCAGGGGACATCCGGTATGGCCAGACTGCCCTGCCCCGCGTTCCTCCTCCTTCTCAGGCACTGCCTGTCTCTGTCCTTTCCTGTCTGTCAGCCTCTCTTTCCCTCTTCTCTCTCCTTACTCCATCCTTGTCCTGAGGCCACCAGACTTGAGGCGGTGAAGGTACAGGTTGAAAAATTACTGGGCCACCACAGAAGGAAGTTACATTTAAGAGAACTCCATAGGGAGTAGCATTTCTTGGAGTGGGTCTGAGGATTACATGTATCAGAATCAAGGGAGAGGGAGGAGAGCTTGCTGGAAATGCAGATGTGGAGCCACACCTGATCTGAATCAGCGTCTCTGTCCAGAAATGGGGAGGGCCTAGTAACCTGCATTGCAACATGAATGCAGAACACCAGGTTAGCAAAACTCTCAGCCCAGGTTTCTATCTTTGTGTGCCCAGAATCAAGGAAAGAGTGCAGGAAATGCCGGCATAGACAGGGACATGAGGCTCTGGGGTTACCTCCTCCAAGCAAATGATAGTTTCTTCCTGCTAGACGGAGGCTCTCGGAGCAGCTGGCTCACACCCCCACAGCCTTCAGACGAGACCCGGAAGACCCTTCTGCTGTTGCTCTCAAAGAGCCCTGGCAGGAGAAAGTAAGGTGAGTTGGATGGGTGTGGTTTCCAAATCTTGGAGGTGGCCTTAGGTACTCACTGCCCCACCTGTCTTATCCAGCAGTCTCTCCCAAACTATCAGGCTCCCAGGCGTCTGAGTCCTTGCCTTGTGGGGAGTTTGATTTGGACTTCAGGCGGAAAGCAAGGTCTGTCCTCAACCCTTTGGCACCTTTTGTTTCTTTCTTCACAGGAGAATCAGAGAGGGCTCCCCCTATGGCCACCTCCCCAATTGGCGGCTCCTGTCAGTCATCGTCAAGTGTGGAGATGATCTTCGCCAGGAGCTCCTGGCCTTCCAGGTGTTGAAGCAACTGCAGGTAAGAGAGGCAGGGAGAAGTAAGGGGAACTCTGGCCCAGCTGAGGTGAGCATGCAGGTTGTTAGGCAGGTTGTTCCACAGGGAGCTCTGCTAGGGAGCAGCTTCCTACCCAGGTTTAAATTGGATGCAGACCCTACGCCTCCCCCCACCCCCTCCGTGTAGGTCCCCAAGAACTACAGCCACAAGAACAGCTCCACAGCGACCCCTCGTGGCCCTTTTGTGACCTGCACCTGCTGTGATCTCTGAACTCTGGGAGGCTAGATTTGTCCTTTTAGTCTAACTGGTTTGTGGCAGCTGGTTTGCAGGGTGCGGAGATGTTGATCCCCTGAACCTTTGGATTGGTCGCCTGCAAGCAACTTTACTTGTCAATCCTATTCTTTCTATAAATACTGTTGTTTTCTTAAGAGGATTTCTCTGGATCTAAATCCTTTCCTGTGTTCTTCGTATTATTTGAATTTGGATTAATGGCTCACATTCTCTAGGCCTGTGAGGTGTCAGTGTGGTTTCCTGTCCTCCCTGCCTTTTGGGGGCTTTCTACCTATACGATGCCTTTCTCACGTACTTCCCTATATCTTGTCGAGCCCTGGGCTTGTCTCAGAACTCCCTGGTCCTCAGGAGCATCAATGGGTTTTACTCACTTCATGACCTGGAATCCAAGGCCACAAGGATAGGAACTGTTCAGGGTTGGGGACAGAGGGGGATTTTCCCCTCTCTCCTAGTTCGGAAAGATAATAGTTGGAATAGTTGGATGCCTCTGTGTCTCCTCACAGTCCATTTGGGAACAGGAGCGAGTGCCCCTGTGGATCAAGCCATACAAGATCCTTGTGATTTCTGCTGACAGTGGCATGATTGAACCCGTGGTCAACGCTGTGTCCATTCACCAGGTGAAGAAGCAGTCCCAGCTCTCCTTGCTCGATTACTTCCTGCAGGAGCACGGCAGTTACACCACTGAGGCATTCCTCAGTGCACAGCGCAATTTTGTACAAAGTTGTGCTGGCTATTGCTTGGTCTGCTACCTACTGCAAGTGAAGGACAGGTGGGTGAACTCCTTATCCTAACCTTGTCCCTTTGTGAGAGTTCTCACTTAACTCTTCGCCACCTCCCATTGCCTAGATAAAAAAGTGGAACGAACGACATATTTTAAGCAGAGACGTGTTTGTGTGCCGTTAAGCAGCGAGGCAGACCATTTAGTGCCAGGGTACAGGGGCAGAGAGGTGAAGGACTTCAGGGAGGAGCAAGGGTTTGAGCAAGGTGGATGAGGTCAGAGACACCTGTGAGGGGAAGGACGCTCCAGGTGAGAAGGCAGCTCAGGGTGCCGGAAGATCAGGCTACCCTGCCAGGCCGGGTAAGCACGCAGCGGCTCTGCTCCGTAGGGGAGCTGAGGTCAGGTGAGAAGGGCAGTGGGTATGAGGCTGAGGAGCTTTATTTTGTAGGCAGAGGAGTGATGAGAGCCAACCTGTGTTTAGTGACTGCCCCCAGGTCTCAGAGGGTGAGAGTGGGTGTACCTGGGTCTTCCACAAAGCGGGAGGTCCTGAGGCCTGGCCTGATGGTAGCGGCCGCCCGCAGAGCAGAAAAGAGAAGATGGGTATGAGGAACATGCTGGATGTACGGTTGTGCTCCCAGCCCTGAACTCTCCTTCTTGTTCCAACATATGAATTTCAAAACTTTTAAGTATCTCTTGTTTTGCTCAGAGCTGTCATTTCTTCCAATATCACATTGACCTCTGTGAGCTCCAGCTTCATATATAGGTGAGCACATCAGACAGAGAGAATGATACCACCGGGGTCTTGCTTTCTAAGACCGTATCCAGAGAGTGACTCAGGGTCAGCGCCCTGAGTGCTCCTGTGAGTCGTGCCTCTCACCAGGCAGAGGGCAGCCTCCTGAAAAGGCTGAGATGCGGTGGCCTGTGCTCCTTCGGTTCCTAGAGACATGGCAGCACATGCAGACCTAACTCACAGGGCTGCATATCAGAAATCTAGTATCGGTTAAGTGCCTGCCATTCTTATATGAAAACCCTGTCAGGCAGGCATTTCCTTGTGAGGGAAGTAAGGGCCGCCGAGCTTTCAAGACTTGTGGTTATTCTCCACTGCCCAGCCCTGTAAATGAGCCCGGCAGCAGCTCTGCATGCGCAGGCTGACGGGTAATGTAACTGTTGATAAGGAGTTTGGTTGCAAGCTTTAGATTGTCCCTGAAGAAGCAGGGTTTTGAACCCAGGGCCAAGGGAGCCTAGACTTGAGCCCCAGGTTGAGTAAGTGTGTGGCATGGAGGCAGGGACTAGTCAGGCCTCTGGGCTTTCCTGTAGAAAACCAGTATGTTGGGAAGGTTAGAGTCCGTCCCTTCAAAGAGCGGGAGGGTACTGCAGCTGATAGACCTTTTATAATAACTCGGAGAAAGAACGGATGTGGTGAAGCCAGGAATGGAATCTGCCAGTGGAAAGAAGTGGCAACAGTGAACGTGCCTCAGACTGGAATCAGGTGCGGGGTCTCCTTAACTGCTTCAGGATGAGCCCCAAACAACTTTGCAGCTGGAGCTAACGCCAGCAGTTAGGAGAGAAGCTGCCCCTCCGTAGCCTTGGGACCTTGTGTACAAAAGTCACTTTTCCTCCCCGCAGCCTCTCTTTCGTCACCTGTAAAATGAGACGTTGGACGAGGACATCTAGAACCTTTCTTGCTCCCAAGATTGTGTCTTTGTTGGTAAATTTGCCATGCTTTCCCCAAGGGGAAAGGACTGAGTAGGGACTGGTTCTCTCTCCATCCCCCTCTTCTGGCCAGTCAGACCAAACCTAGAGGAAGGTGGCTTCAGACCTGGAGCTCTTAGCCTAACAAAGCATCTCTTGACACAGAGGCTGTCTCTTATGCTGAATGAACCAGTCTCACATGCTTAGCATTTTAAAGATTTTATTTATTTACTTGACAGAGCGAGATCACAAGTAGGCAAGAGGCAGGCAGAGAGAGAGAGAAGGAAGCAGGCTCCCTGATAAGCAGAGAGCCCGATGCGGGACTCGATCCCAGGACCCTGAGATCATGACCTGAGCCAAAGGCAGAGGCTTAACCCACTGAGCCACCCAGGTGCCCATCATATGCTTAGCATTTTAATTGTTCTTTCTTCTGCTGGCCATTCATGTGGGAATCACAAAGACCTGGGATTTATCTCCCTCTAACTCTTCTTCCTGCAGCTTCCCCCTAGTAATTGCTTCCTGAGATTTTTTACATAAGTGGTCTTACCGAATGGTTAAAGCCTACTCCTCTACTCCTTGGAGCCCCCACACAGTAATTAACATTTAAACTCCACTCAGCCCGCTCTCTTGTGGAGGGTCTCTGCTCTGCAGCAGGCTGACAGGAATTACCACTAAAACTCAGGTAAGTAGGTTTGGAGTGGAGGCCTCCCACTGAGCTTGAGGGCTTGGCCTCTGAGAGGATTGGCTAGAACTACAGAGTCCTTCCCTTGCTTCCAGGTTCTCTACTCAGTTGGGATCAGTTTGGTTGCTAGAAGCATGATTTTTAGAAAATGGAAATATTCTTAAACTGGTTTTAAGTTGTTAATAATGACAATTTCAACAAAATCATAATGAAATTTCAGACCTCAGAGCCTTTGACAGCAGTTTACTTTTCTGATTTTCCTTCTTTGCTCTGATTAGCGTTAGGTCATAAGAGGTAGGCAGCAACAAACTTGGCAGGAAGCTCACTTAACCTGGTATCACATGGCCAGGGTGTTGCAGCTTGAGGCCCCTGCCTCAGTCAGACTGACGACTGCTTCTTTCTCTCCTCTGCCCCCTCCTCAGACACAATGGAAACATCCTTTTGGATGCAGAAGGCCACATCATCCACATCGACTTTGGCTTCATCCTGTCCAGCTCACCCCGAAACCTGGGCTTTGAGACGTCAGCCTTTAAGCTGACCACAGAGTTTGTGGACGTGAGTCAGGAAGGAGAGGTGCCTCACTGTGTTCTTTCTCTATCATGGGAGAGGGAGCTGTGGGCTCCCCCCAAATTAGGGACCAACAGAACAGAAATGGCAGTGAGTCATGGTGAGGCTAGGTGTCCTGGGAGGCTTCCTGCCTGATAGAAGAGTGGGGAAGTCGGAGTTTGGCATGTTTGCCCCGATGGAGGAAGTCCTGGCTGGCTCGTGAACCCCCGTGCACACATCTCCCTTTGCAGGTGATGGGGGGCCTGGATGGCGACATGTTCAACTACTACAAGATGTTGATGCTGCAGGGGCTGATCGCTGCTCGGAAGCACATGGATAAAGTGGTGCAGATCGTGGAGATCATGCAGCAGGGTTAGTGGGGAAGAGGCCATGTGTCTGGGGACAGGGCAGTGCCCACAGTGCTTCAGGTTTCCCATTTGATGTTGGGGCCCCAGGGCATGGAACCTCCAAAAAGTGGATTCCACCTCAAGACTGGGGGCATTGTTTCCCAGAGGGTGCCATTTGTCCTTTGGGAGTCCTCCTGACTCCTGATGGAGCTGGGTCCCAGGGATGGGAGGGGTTGGGGGGTACAGACTGCGGAAACTATCTTAGGCACCCTCAAGGAGAGAACAGCTCCATCTCCAGTCTCGTGGTCCCTGTCTGTCTCCCCATCCCTTGTCCACCTGATTTTTTGTTTCCTTCCATCCCTCTGGCTCTGCTCTTTGCCAGCCCAGGTGTTTCCAGTAACCGCTTGCCTCTCTGTTGGCCCTTGACTACTGACAGCCCTGTCCCCAGTGCCCCTTCTCTGTCCCCATACTTACTCCTCCCTGTGAGCTGAAAGTATTTCCTCTCTGCTCTTCTTGATCTATTCTCCCTGAGCCATTTCCTCACTGCCTTGCAACCTAGAGTCTCTTCTCTCCGAGCTCTTTCGGGTCCTCGTCTCCATTTCCCCCTCCTCAAGGCTGCCGTGTATACTTGGGCTAAGCTGCCAGTCTCCTCCTCGCCCCCCATCCCTGCCCCCACCCCACAGGTTGTCGCCGTTGCTCGGGAGCATCCCCGTCTGGCCCCGTGATGACGGTGGCCCAGGTCATCTGTGAGTGTCAGACGTAGCATAGGCAGAGGCCTGCAACCAGATAAGTGTCCAGCTCAGGGCCCATTCCCCAGACCCTCTTCCCAGCCTTCCCTCCGGGTCCTGAGACTCTGCTCCCTCTGCCCTTACGGGGAGGTGGGGGGGGGGCAGTGTAGTGCCAGCCCTCTCCCCCTCTGCCCTCACACCCTTACCTAGAGGGGCTTAGGAGTATGGGATGAAGATGGGGCCCCCCCAACTCTGGCTTCTCTTCCCAGGCAGAACTGCACTCACAGTCGGGGAGCTCTCTGATGTGGGAGGGAAGGGGCGCTTCAGACACCCCCAGTTCTGTATTAGCCACTGTGGCTGCTACCACTGCCCCTTCCCACTTTGCACTCCATGACCCTGTGCCCTCCCCGCTTCCCCCAGGTTCTCAGCTTCCTTGTTTTCATGGCTCCAGCACCATCCGCAACCTCAAAGAGCGGTTCCACATGAGCATGACTGAGGAGCAGCTCCAGCTGCTGGTGGAGCAGATGGTGGATGGCAGCATGCGCTCCATCACCACCAAACTCTATGACGGCTTCCAGTACCTCACCAACGGCATCATGTGACACCCTCCTCCTCAGGCCCAGGAGTGGTGGGGGATTCAGGGTACCCTCCCTGGGAGGGCCCTTGTCTGAGAAACCCCAAACCAGGAAACCCCACCCATGGGCAATGGAAGGCAAGAAATACAGAGGATCATGTGGTAACTGTAAAGCTTGCGGGGGGGGGGGGGGGGGGGGGGGGGGGGGGGGAGAGCCAGCTGTGGGGCCGACTTGCCAGGCCTTCCCTGCCCCCAGTGGTATCATTGTCACTATCTGATAAGACTTCGGGACTCACCGCCCTCCAGAGAACGGAGGGGATAGATGTGAGGGCCACTGGGGCCTGCCTTCTCACCAGGGTCCAAGAGGTTCTTTCCACAGGCCATCCTTCCTCTGTTCTGGGTCCCATGAGTAGGGGGAGGGGGAAGAGGAGGTTCTTGGTACTTGGGACTTGATCCTGTGGTTGGCCTCTGGCCGTGCTGCTGCCCAACTCCATCCCCTCCCAGCGACTGGCCTAGGCCGGGTTCCCTTGTTAGGTGGGCTCTGGCGTAGGGTCCTACACCTATAGAGGTTCCCCATCCCAGGGGCAGGGAAGGGAAGGATCACGACCCCTCCAGTGGATGAGGCTATCGGCCTGGTCACAGGGAATTCCTTGGCCTGATCCCTTTCCCACACCCAGGGAAATAGCTCTCAACTTTTTATTTTTAATTTTTGTTTGAAATAAAGTCCTTAGTTAGCCATCTGTGTCATTTCTGGTTTTTTTTTTTTTTTTTTTTTTTCAGGACTTGGGGGGTAGGTGAAGAGTAAGAGCAGATGCCTCAGTGTCCTGGATGCCAAAGGCAGAGAACTGGTTGAGGAAGACTTGCTCTTTCCCTGCCTATTTCAGTCAGTGTCACCTTGTCCTGGGAACGGCCTCCCCAACTTTGACTCTTGCCCTCTCCCTGCCAAGCCCACAATGTTTAGGTCACATAAAAAGAGAAGCCTGAATGGGGATTAAACCACGAGCAGTTTTAATGGTCTGGTTTTCTCCCTCCCATTTCCCCACTGTTAGTATTATTATTACTACAAGAATAAAGGATTCCTGAGAGCCTGTCCCCCTCCTCTCCCTCAGCGCCCCCCCCCCCGACAGGACTCGTCCCTACCAAACCCCCCTGGATTTTTGGGTTAGAAAAAAAAAAAGTGAAAGGCACTGCAGGGGTGGGGTGGGGGGCTCAAGTGCCAGAGAGTTGGAGGTGCAGGGGCAGGGCCAGGCCCTTGAGGGTTGAGAAGCGTCCTGAGGGCCCCAGCAGAGGCCTTCCCTGGGCCCAGCTAACAGGCCTAGGAAAGGCCCTCCTCCCACCCCAACCCACTTTGGGGTATACAGCAAGAGGATAATTAGTGTTGGGCTCAGAAAGGAGGAATGGAAGGCCCACTCTACTAGGACCCAAGGGCCAAACCCAAAGGGGGGATTGCAAATCACTATAATCCTCAAAAGCCTGTTGTGTTTGGGGGTTGGAGGAGAGGAGCTGAACAAAATGTGAATTAGAATGAAATCCCTAGCCTGGGGACAACAGCAGCAGTGACCCAGGCTCCCAACAAAGAGGGAGGGGAGGAGGCCAGTCAGTCCAAGTTTGGGCCTAGTTGTCCCCACTGCCCCCTTGCCGGGCCCTGATGAATGCCATGCCATGTGTGCGGAAATGGGTCTTGAGGTTGAGCGGGCTGTCACAGCTCTTGCCACAGACTTTACAGGTCAGTGGGCCTCCAGAAGCAGGCAAGGGTGACTCTCCACCCTCTGGGTCAGACCTCAGTGGAGGAGGGGCCTCTTCTTCCCCATCACCCAGGCCCACGGCACTGGCATTACCCGCACCCCGTTTCTTCTTATGGCTGATGAAACGGTGCCTGCTCAGAGAGCCAGGGGAGGCAAAACACAAGCCACAGTCGAGGCACTGCTGGGCACCACCATCCACCCTCAAGCCCACCATGAGGCTCTGCTCCACTGAATTGCTGCTCCGGTAGCGCAGGGGACCATGGCCTCCAGAGCCAGGCCCACCCCTAGGGGACTTGGCTGGAGGTGTTGTGCTGTCTGGCTCTTCACTACAAGAGTCAGAGGACTGGCGGCGTTTCCGTCCTGGCCCCTGGCGATGAGAGGGAAGAAATGAGGCCTCCCTATCACCCCACACTGACCCTGGCACCCTTGCCTTGAGGCCAGGGCCTAGAACCCTGCAGTTTCCCAGTCCCACAGCTCCGAAAGAGCAGGCCGGGCTTCTGCCTACCTGGGCTCTGGCACTGGGGCCCCGAGCCAGGGTGCTCCCCCGGCCAGGGGACTGGGCCCCGAGTGGCAAGCCATGCCGGACCTGGACGTGCTTCTCCAGGATCAGGCGGCTGCTGAAGGTGCGCTTTCCCTCTGTGCAATACCTGCAGGGAGACAGTGGGTAGCATGGGTGCCGGGAGAACAGCCCAAAGACCAAGGCCTGTGGCTTGAGGTTGCAGGGAGAGCAGAGGGAGGCCTCAACCTTTGGTCCACTCACACAAGTCACAGGTAGAAGGTGCTCAGTGGGGCTGGGGACATGGGATAGGCAGGTCACTCGCTGCTCAGAAAGAGGAAGGGGACGCGGGAGGGGAGGTGCGGACGAAGGGGCAAGCGTTACCTGCATGGGTAAACTCGCTTGATACCCTCATGATTGACCCTGACATGGCGCCTCAGGCTGGGGGCGGAACAGAAGGAGCGCTCACACAGGCGACAGGGAAACTTTTTCACTGACTAGGAGAGCAGAGGGTAGGGAACCTCAGAGCCAGGCTCTAAGACCCCCACCCCCACAGCCACCCAGACCAAGGGGACACCCCACTCACCTTGCCATGCTCTTTCTTCATGTGAGCCACGTACTCGTCGCGCTCAGGAAACCAGGAGTGACAAAGGCCACAGGTCCAGCCTCCAGGGCCCCCACCCCCACCCTTGATGCCTTTGTTCCCTAGTTCCCGTCGGGGCCGTTTGGTCGCACGAGGGGGCTCAGGAGAGCTGGGCAGTTCTTCCTCTTCTGAGGATGAAGACGATTCCTCAGTAGGGGCAGCTGCTCCTCCCCGGGACACAGCCAAGTCCTCGGGCTCAGCCTTGGGGGTCATGAGGGCACCTGCACCCCCTTTCCCAGCCGTCTCCTCCCCGGGGCGCCCAGACTGATGGGTGTTCTGTGAGAGGGAGACAAGGGGATGGCCACTGTGGGGGAGGGCCTGGCTCTGCTGGAGGCCTCATTGCTCCCCTACCCACACTCCAAGGGTTATGTCACCCCAGCCCCAGGTCACCACAGCGAAGCACCCCACCTCTGTCCCTTAACTCCTATACCTTAAGATGTTCCAGCATGGTCCTTTTTTGGGCAAAAAGCAGAGGACAAGATGGGCACTTAAAGACGCTGACACGCTGGGGCAACAGATGCTGGTCGAAGTGTGAGGAGAGGAGGGGTTTGTGAGTGAAGACTGTGTCACACATGGCACACTTGTAGATCATCCTGTGTGGGTGGAGAGGACAATGCAGACACCCTGCCCATCAGGGCCCCAAGCCCGCTCCAGCCCACCCTACCCCCTGCCAGGTCTCACTTGGCTTGCTGCGTGTGGAAGCTGGGATGCTGGGTGTACAGGTGGGCATGGGCGCTGGGTGCAGACTTGAAGGCCATGGGGCAGATGGGGCACTTATGGAAAACCTCGCAGTGCGACGTCTGGATGTGGGACTTGATGGAGTTCACGCCCCCGAACACCACGGCACAGCTGGGGCACCTAGGGGGCAGGGGGCGCGGAGGTGAGGCAGGGCGTCTCTGGCCCGTACCCCAGCCCTGTCATTCCTGGGAACTGCTGGACTCCAGAGCTGATCCACGGCGGTGGTGCATGACCAAGGTGGGGACAGGAGGGGTATGCAGATCCTGCCCCTTGAGAGAGGCCTATGGAGGCCGAACTGGAGCTCTCCCCCCTAACCGTGGGGGCAGGACACAGATCTCACACTGGGGTTCAGCAAGAGAGAGGGGGCTCTCCCTGACAGGCCAGCCAAAAGGCTGGCGCTGGGACGCAGGGGGCCATGAAGTGCTGGAGGGGTAGGAGGCTGGGGAGGGGCGTTGAGGATCAGTGGCGAGGCCACAGGGAGAGGCAGGAGGCACCTGTATCCCACACGGCGAGACAGATGTAGACAGGCCTCCCGCAGGTGGGTCTGAAAATTCGCTTGCAGGAAGTTGCCCCCACACTCAGGGCAGACGTGGGGAGGCCGGTTCTTATGCATGCGCTGGTGGGCACTGAAGCTGCAGCGGTTGGGGAGCATCATGGGGCAGGTCGGGCACACCTGTCGAGGGGGTTCAAAGAAGGCCGGTCAGTGAGGAGTGGCCCAAACCCCCGCCAACACCTTCCCAGATCCTACTCCCACCTTTGGGCTCTAGCCCTGGGAGGGGCCAGAGGAGAACACTCACAGTGCTGTTGGCCCCCGGGGCAGAGGGCCCAAGTTGCTGGAAGTGGGCAGCCATGCCGGCCTTGTCCCGGCACTGCTCCTTGCACTCCAGGCAGCGAAAGCATGTGTAGGCCGAGGTGGCAGGAGCGGCAGGCGGCTCAGACGAGAGCGGCAGCACTGGGGCCTCAGCAGCAACCACGGTGACGGCAGCAGCGACGGCAGCCCCATCACCCTTGCCCAACGCAGGCAAGGCAGGAGGTCCGAGGGCTGGAGGGACGGCCAGCAGGGGCGTGATGTCCGGCTGGCCCACCATCTGGTCCAGGGCGACGGGCTTCATGACCAGGTGCGAGCACTGCATGACGAGCCCTTTGTCCTTGTGCTCTCGGGCGTGCAGCAGCAGGCTGCATTTGTTGAAAAAGACGAGGCGACGGGCACAGTGGTTGCAGGTGACCTCGATGCGCATGCTCCGGCGGTCATAGTGCCGCGCCAGACTCTTCTCCAGTGAGAAGGCGTCCCCGCACTCAAGGCAGCGGTAGCCCGTCGGAGGCAGGGCCAGCCCAGCCTCAGCTGGCGGACTCAGGTTGGGCCGGTAGGCAGGCAGCAGGTTCTTGCTGTTGAGGATCTTGTTGAAGGCCTCCACCAGACTGGACTGCGTCCGAGAGATCACTGTGCCACCCCCAGCCCCTGGCCCAGTGGCCGACTTGGAAGGCTGCACCATCACCACGGAGGCACCATTCACCTTCTGCCCCCCAGCCCCCAGCCCTGCCCGCCCCTCCACCTTGGGCAGGGCTTGGGGCACC